GTTGGTCTAATAGCAGCAGACAGCAGATACACAGAGTGGACAAACCAGTTTCATAACATTCCAATATCCCTGTCCTGATACATCCACCAATAAAGGAGCATAAAGCTACTAACAGCTACAAAGCGCAGCCATTTCAGTGACTACACTTACTCTCTTCATCCTGAAAGAGCAGCTCACAGGACCAGCACTGAACACTGCACACAAAACCAGATCTTCAGATCTGAAAAAACCCCACCTTAATTTCCAGGCAAGTGTTAATACAGATACAGGAGCAAACCACAAGGAGGGCAACAGAATACATAAATTTGCATATGTGCTGTAATACCTGGGTAATGAAAGTACTATTCTCCAAAAGGTAATAGACAAAAAAGTTAGTATTAAACTTGGTGATACCTGTGAAGACTCTTAAAAAACTTTATGAGGATGTTCTAAGGGAAAAAGCTAATGGCCAGCAGTGTTGTGGCACAGAAGACATATTCTTCATGCACACAGTACTGCAATTCTTTGTGGCTTCTGCATTTTTCCTTGAAAAGGGAAACCTTTCTTGTTCCTTACAGTAGATCAAACGATCAACAAAAATCTTACTCCTGACTTAGCACACTGAATCACTAATAAGAATGATTCAGTAATTTACCAGATTAAGAATGAGAAAAAAGCACGCAGCAGTACCTGAATTCTGCCCATGGCTCCACAACACTTCAGTTTCTGCCACAAGAATTAGCAACGAACTAATTAGCCAAAGCCAACAAATAATCACAAAGTGACAACCTACTGCAGTGAGCTTGGATATTTTTTTTTGGTCTACCCTCTAGACCCCACCTGTAGATTCAGGAAGAAGCACTGCACACATCCAGCATCCCACTGCACAGGGAGGTAAGCTGTGAGAAAGCACAGGCTGTGTGTGGATCAATCAGCCAACACTGCTGAGCACCCTCGTCATCTCTGCACAGCTCAGAAAGACTCCCAAAAAGTCAACTCAACAATAAATACAATTGTTGCTTTCCATTGTTATCCCCAGCGAGGAGACCAAAGGTTAATGTACTGCTTCCTGCCACTTATGGGATGCAATTCCAACTTCTGTGTGGTAGGCAAATATTCTTCCTTGGCAAATGCATCTTACAGACCTCCCCAGTCACATGAAATCTCTGTGTGGTAGGCAAATCTTCTTCCTTGGCAGCAGACATCCATCTTACAGGCATCCATCTTACAGACCTCCCCAGTCACATGAAATCAGCATTGTTAGGCACTGTTTCAGTATTTAGGCAAAACTGTTTTAAAGCATTTTAGTCACTCCTAATTAATGTTCTAGTTATTACTTTTATTTGTCTGAACCTCCTAGATGTGTATATCACTCCTCCTGTTCTCTTCCAGCCACCTTGTCACCTCTTTGTTCTCTAAATCCCAGATCTCTTGTCCCCACCAGGTGGAAGCCAGGGTAGCAACCCTGGTAAGAAACCACCTTAAGCTTTACAGCAAGGATAGATAAAAAAAAAAAAAATTATTTTGCACTCTACTGACTTAACATTGTCTTTGCCTTTAACCTGTTGAAAAGATTCAATGCCAGTAAAAGCAAGGAAAAGCATGAAATAGTACTTCAATCAGTTTAGGACTGCTTCATGCCATAGCTCTCCTGTTAATGCAAGTGACAACCACAGGCAAGTTATGGTTACTCTCCTTCCATGACATCATCAGCATTGTTATGCACTGTTTCAGTATTTAGGCAAAACTGTTTTAAAGCATTTTAGTCACTCCTAATTAATGTTCTAGTTATTACTTTTATTTGTCTGAACCTCCTAGATGTGTATATCACTCCTCCTGTTCTCTTCCAGCCACCTTGTCACCTCTTTGTTCTCTAAATCCCAGATCTCTTGTCCCCACCAGGTGGAAGCCAGGGTAGCAACCCTGGTAAGAAACCACCTTAAGCTTTACAGCAAGGATAGATAAAAAAAAAAAAAAATTATTTTGCACTCTACTGACTTAACATTGTCTTTGCCTTTAACCTGTTGAAAAGATTCAATGCCAGTAAAAGCAAGGAAAAGCATGAAATAGTACTTCAATCAGTTTAGGACTGCTTCATGCCATAGCTCTCCTGTTAATGCAAGTGACAACCACAGGCAAGTTATGGTTACTCTCCTTCCATGACATCCATGAACAGTTCTCCCAAATACACTTCAGAATTACCTTCTGTTCTTTTAGGGTTCGTCAGGGGATGTCTGCTGTTACCCACAGCGTGAAAATAACATCCTAACAGTGACAATAGCATACTATTTTCACAATCCTTCTGTTTTCACACTTTAAAGAATAATGAATAATGAACATTACTTCCACGTAAGTAAAACTGTAACCCCATTTTTGACAGGGGGAACTGAAGTGTAGACTTCATGTCATTAAAAAGTACTATTTTAAGCAGCAGCTACTGGTTTACATTCATAAAAAGAACCTTCACCACCACATAGCGAGGGGGGCAAAAAAAAAAAATATAGAGTAACCTCTCCTTTCTCTCCAAAACAGACAAAAAGAGAAAATGGAGATGCAAAGTTATCCTTGAAAGAAATACATACATATATGTATTATATATTCAACACAGAAAATACAGTTAAGCTGTGTTTATTTCCTGGGGGGATTAAAAAAAAAAAAAATGTCTCTTCAAGACATCTTTCCAGGAGGTATTAGTATCAGATATGAAAAAGTTCTTTCCATAAAACTATCAAGAATCCAACACTGCTACACTGAGCTTCAAACTACAATAAAAGCAATTTTAAATATAAAAATACAGGCATCTCAATGCAGACAAACAGATGACCTAGCCTGCAAAAAAAGCCAAAATAAAATAAAATAATGTGTTTATTGCACAGATTTTTTTTTTCCTGAGGAGATCTGAAAAAAATATATTCTGGTTTCTCCGTCCTATCCCCCTAATCCTCTTATTAGCAGCCATTCTCTCCAAAGCTATTTCATCACGCTTCATTTCTGAAATCCACATCAGTGGCATCCAGTACATTTTAGTAGCAAAGGTAAGATGTCCCACTTGGGAAAAACCTTTAAAAATGTACATACGCACATGTTGAAAGTAGTCTGAAGACAAGAGGAACATCTATTTGTATACTCTACATGTAAGAAATATTTTAACATTTTCAAATTTATGACAGTATTGGGCACTTCTGATCGCTTCAATTTTCAGATTTCCCAATTACTATTTGTTATTTTCTTGCACAAAGTCTAATCTGATCTAGAAATTCATTTCTCCTTCTGAATTCCTAACCAAGTGCTTTCAATAGTTATAAATTAAAAAACACTACTAAAATTATCTGAAGTAAAAATGAAGTAAATTCTGACCTGCTCTTGATAGTTCAGCATGAATATGTTTATAATCAATACTTGGTTTCCATACGTGCCCAACTTGTCATTCTGTGGCTCAAGCAAACAAACAAAAAAAGACAGCAGTGACCCCTGTACAGGGAAGATAATTTGATTTTTATACAGTGCCCTTCATTGTCCAGCTGCCCCTAAGCACTTTACAAAACAGTGAGCCTCCTAGATATCTCACCACATGGGCAAATAAAGCAGTTGTTCTCCACTCTAAAAGAGCTCACCTCAAACCAGAGTAATCTCATAGCGAGGAGCTGCACATGAACTCAAGACACCAGGGAAACATTTACTCTGTTTAAAAAAAAAAAGCCTATTATCTCTGTAGGTATAATGCTGCATCTACTTAGGATTCTAAAGTGTAAAATAAAGTATGGAAAATCAGTACTGTAAATGTATGTTGGATATAACGTATCTCTTGAGTTTAAAAAAAAAAAGTACTCCTTAGTATCTGAGGTTTCTGTGGCATTTTTCATACCATACCTGAACTCTGTGTATAAAACAATGCAAAACTCTATGCAGACAGGAGAATTCCATCTACTCATAAGTGCTGAGGCCCAAACTGAGATTTCCCAAGTGACTGGTGCTTATTCTAGTATTATTCTAGAGAAAAGTCTCCAAACCAGGAAGATTATCTCCTAAAATCCAGGAGACATTCCCAAAGGTGAAGACTTTCTTACTAATAGCTTATTCTTTGTAAGGAAAAGTTAGTCCTCTATAGCAAGTCACTGCTTAACTTTTTCAGTTATCTTCCATTCCCATCATGTGTCAGCAATACTTACCTTTTGTTGCAGTCATCATACGAAGGAAACAACTCACCTTTTGGCTCATTAACAAGCTGTATAAAGCCATCTATATTATCATTATCTCCGTACCTAACAGCTGGCTTTTTTTGGGTTTTGTTTTAAATGAATACTCTAGGTACAGACAGGTCAGACATAATCCTGCAGTAGAAAAAGTGGCATATTTTTTACCATGAAAGCACAAAACTCAGTTCTTTACATTCTATTAATCTTGTCTTACTGAATGAGGAACTATCAAAAGCCTTCAGGCATATACAATTCTAAAAATGGAAGTTTTCCATAAGGAAAGTCCTTCCTGTGTGATAAAACACACAAGTTATCAAAACAGGATGTAGTACAGGGAGCACATGTGCATCCTTACTTCAATTGTTATGGAATTAGCCCTTCCTAGTTGAATTACTCTTTGGAGTGAAGTCGTATTTGTTTTTTTAGAGCAAGTAGCTCTGCTTGTAACTCTATGAAGGGTGCAAAGACAACCAGGCACAAAAGTGACTACAAGTCAGGAAACGGTGTGCGGTCACATATTAAAGAACATGGTAAACTGCTAAGCCTATTACAGTAGATTATCATCTGCTTGAAAAGGATTACAGTCGGGGTGGCCAGAAAAGCCCTAAGATACATATTAACACAGTCTTCTATGCACCTGATGGCTGGATTATTCCAAAATATGGTGAATAGGGTTGAAGCCACCTTATCTCCCGTCTCATTTCATACTACACTTCATGAACAGATAAGAGCAACTCTGGAGTTCTGACATTCAGAAACAAACAAGCAAGCAAGCCTTCTTCCCTTTGCTCCACCCTGCACAAAGACAGATACAGAAAGGAAACATTAATTTCACAATGTCAGCATTTATTTACATGAGAGAAAGTTTACACAAGTTGAAAAGTTGTTTCAACAGGAACCCAACAATTACTGCTGTTGCCCATCTTCAAGAAAGGGATGACACTAAGATTCGATGACGCAGCTTCGGAAGGTTTTTGATGATCACTTGGGAAAAAAATGCCAGGAGTCAACTAAAACAAAAAGCACACACACATCAAGAAGGACATTAGTTCTATACAACAAGCCAGGCACAAACACTTGAAAAAAACAACACTGCCCTTTCAACTATCTCCCCTTCTTCTGAGTGAGCTCTATCCCCAGCACAGCCTCAAAATAGTATCTGTTCCCTTTAACAGCTTGGCTAAAACAATCCTGCAACAAGTTACAACGCTGACATGACCATCCCTGGAAAACATCAAAGATCAGGCAGATTATGTTCAGTTGTCTGTCAGAGGTCCGAGATGCAATATTTCAGTAAATAAATGCTATTTATTGGCATGCCATATAAGGGCAAATGGAATTCAGCTTGCTTTCCCATGACATGGACTACACAGATGTTACATTGCAAACAATCTGGAACTCGACTCGTGACTAAGTTTCTCTTTGAGTTTCTGTAACTCCCTGCATCTCAAAAAGCACGTATATCTTCTCTATAGTCCCTGCCAGCAGAAAAATCTATTTTTTTTAAATTAGTTAACAAAAACAGAAATGTAGGATGCATTCTTATTTCTAGATGAAAAACACATGTTCTGTGAACATGAAAAACAGTCATAACAGCGAAAGAGAGAATTTTGTCTTTAGAACTTGTCTTTAGTTGAAAATTAAGTATGCTTATGTCACTTTTAGGAAAAGGAGCTGTTTATTTGATTAGTTAGCTACTGTGAGGAGTAACAAACACTAAGGCAAAGCAACCTTTCTCCTTTAAATAGCAAAAATATCATGCATTTGTATTCCATGATCAGTGACAGAAAACCTTACTCTCCTCAGCTTTTTATGTGGACTACACTTTCACTCACATTCAAAAGTCATCTCCTCCCACAAACCATCCATGAATTTCTGCCTGTGTTCTATTTAACAGGGGACAGGCATTACAGTCTGACAGAATGTAACTATTACCATTCACATGTGCACAAAAACACCTTTTTTCAACAAGGCAGTTTTTATATCAATTTCAAAGATTAAAGAAATCATATGGCATTTGGGGAAAAACGTACCTTCTGAGGAAACAGAATCTCCATTCACAGGCACTGGTGCCTAAAAAGAAAACAAACAAAGCACCAAACCAACATATCAGTGTTTAGTTAAAGTTTCACAAGTAGCACCCAACCTCAAAGCTATTTTACTGCTGAAGTCAAGAGGTATTAATAAACCAGAACCTTCTGTTGACCCTAGAGGACAATGCTCTACCTTAAAGACTTTCCCTTTTTTTTTTTTTACCCCCAACTTTTCTTCCCCCCCTCTATAACTACTGTACAAATTTCTTGGTTGCTCATAAATGACAAAATAAACACACTAATAATGAGTGACAGATTAACATCTTACCTAACGAGAAGGGTATTTGCCTACTGTATTGTCTTTGAGGTTAACAGGATTTGCTGTTTACATGTGGAAGAGTAAAAATGCCTTTCCAATTACATTATTATATATGTTTCAGTAGAAAGGTGTGCATATGAATATATATATACACACAATTTACATCATATATGCAAACATATAAATAAATATTTTAAAAAAATATGTAAATAAACTCTTTTACAACCACATTTTCACAGAGTAGGATTCAGTTCTGTGGACAGTAACAAATCATATTAAAATGTAGGTCTGTAAGTCCAGGTCCGTGTCAAACACCCCACAATTCAATTGCAGTGTTACACAGCATAACCTGTCCTATTACTTAAAGGACAAAAATTATAGCCAATTTTAACACCAGCTGGAAGCAACCTGCCTCACAACAAAGATGCTCGTTAACTGCATAGCAACAATCCTCCACTTCTGTCAGCTCCTCATACACAGGCAAGTTTTCCAACTGACGGGAAAGAAGCAGAGAACATCTCAGCACAAAGAATCCTACCCCACTCACTCACACACACACAAATCAAGCACAGAAAACCATGTGGATATTGCCCTTTGCCATGACACAAACCCACCCTAATTACACTTAAAATTGCTTAGATGAACCATGCAAAAAAGAAACAACCTCAAAAGCAGGGCTTACAGCTGCCTGAAGCTTCAGGAGAACAAATGTGCACAGTGACCACCCATGTCTTCCACATCAACAGGTGGAACTTCCTACCACTACATTCATGAAAACTTTGCAGTATCCTGCAGGCAGGCAAATTGACCCAGAACCCCCCCAGAGCAGCACTCAGACTGAACTATACTGGTCTGAAATTCCCTCACGAGAATGCTCCAAGCAGACATGGAGCTCAATCCACTGAAGACCAGGTCAAAACCAGTGAGGAGGGAAGGGAGAAGCAGTAATCTTTTTCTCACTTTATCCAGGATAATTACCTGCACGGTGGGATTATATGACTGGTCTGGAAGGATGTGCCAGTATGACAAATGTAATCCAGGTCTTAGAATCATAGAATGGTTTGGGTTGGAAGGGACCTTCAAAGGTCAACTAGTCCAACCCCTCTGCAAACAACCTTCAACTAGATCATGCTGCTCAGAGCCCCCTTCAACCTGACCTTGAATGTTTCCAGGGATAGCACATCTACCACATCTCTGGGCAACCTGCTCCAGTGTTTTACCACCCATATCATGAAAATTTCTTCCCTTTTACCTAGTCTGACTCCACGCTTTTTTGCCCTACTAAAATGTTTGTCCCCGTCTTTCTTATAGGCCCCCTTTAAGTACCCCCAAGACTTTTTCAGCAGGGCTGCTCTCAATCTCTTCATCCCCCAGCCTGTATTGATAACAGGTGTTGCCCCAACCCAGGTGCAGGACCCTGCACGTAGCCTTTTTGAACCTCATGAGCTTCACATGGGCTCACTTCTCAAGCTTGTCCATGGCATCCTGTCCTTCAGGTGTCTAACCACACCACTCAGCTTGGATTCCTCTGCAGATCTGCTAAGGGTGCACTTGATGCCACTGTCTATGTCATTGACAAAGAGATTAAACAGTACTGGTCCCAATACAGACTCCTGAGGGACACCAGTTGCCACCAATCTCCATTTGGACACTGAGCTGTTGACCACTATCCTCTGGAAGCAAGCACCCAACCAGTTCCCCATCCACTGAACAGTCCACTCATCAAATCCCTATCTCTTCAATTTAGAGAGAAGGATGTTGTGAGAGACCATGTGAAAAGCCTTACAGAAGTCCAGATAGATGGCATTCCTAGCTCTTCCCTTGTCCACCGATTTAGTCACTCCATCATAGAAGGCCACTAGATTGATTAGGCAAGACTTGCCCTTGGTGCAGCCATGCTGGATGCCTTGAATCATCTCCCTGTCTTCCACGTGCCTTAGCATAACTTCTAGGAGGATCTGTTCTATGATCTTCCCAGGCACAGAGGTGAGGCTGACATGTCAGTAGTTCCCAGGGTCCTCCTTTCTACCCTTTTTCAAAGTGGGTGCAATGTTTCCCTTTCTCCAGTCACCAGGGACTTCACCTGACTGCCAGGAATTTTCAAATATAGAGACTGGCTTGGAAGTTAACATCAGCCAATTCCCCCAGGACTCTGGGATGCATCTTCTCAGGTCCCACAGACTTCTTTATGTCCAAGTTCCTCAGGCAGTCATGAAGCTGATCCTTTACAACGTGAAGGGCTTAGCTCCCCGAGTCCCTGCCTTGCAGTCCATCTACTCGAGCAGTGTGGGAAGAGAGATTGCCAGTGAAGACTGGGGCAAAAAAGTTGTTGAGTACTCCAGCCTTCTCTTTGTCTGTTGTTACCAATTTGCCAGTCATGTTCATCAGAGGGGGTACAGTATCTTTTACCTTCCTTTTGCAGCTGAGATACCTATAAAAGCCCTTATTATTATTATTCTTTGTGTCCCTTGCCAGGTTCAGTTCCAGCCATGCCTTGGCCTTCCAGACCCCATCCCTATACTTTTCCCAGGACACCTGCCCTGCTTCCACTGCCTGTGAATTTCCTTTTTGCCCTTTAGCTTGACCAGCAGGTCTTGACTCATCCGTGCCAGTCTCTTGCCGTGCTTTCCCGATTTCTTACACCTGGGGATTGAGAGCTCTTGCACTCTATGGTGCCTGCCACTTCTGGGATAACTGCTCAGAAAGTCCAAGGTAAGGACTCGGCACCTTCCCACCAGGAACAGATCAAAAACTCATCCCACTGAACTAGGAATCTCTTCACTACAAAATACTTTCATTTGGAACACTGTTTAAAAAAAACTAACTAAATAATTTTAAAAACCAACACGCACACATTGCCCCAAAAAAACCAAACCCCAAGCAAACAAACAAACAAAAAACCAAAAGAAAAAGCCAGAGCAAAAACCCCACCCATCTTTTGTTTCACAACTGGCCACTGAACAGAAAATTCTGCTTCTACTAAGTCCCAAATGGAAATGTCCTCACAGAAAACATGGTGGGAGAAAGGCAGGTAACAGACTTTCCTGCTTAGATCTGAATTAATTTGAAACGCATTATTAAGTATACAGATTCAAATTTTGTTGGGGATTTTAAAAATTATCAGGAAAAGACACGTATTTTCCTCTGTTAGATACTGTTCTGCATTTTATCAAAAGAGATCTCATCTAGCAAAGCTTTTCAAGTTCACTTTCTAGTATTATAAGGGAAGAATTACATGATAAATCCGAGAAACACTGCTCTACTAACTAAATATAGATCGTATTGGAGATTTTCCAACTTGCAAAGTCCTCAGCAGCTTCTTCACAGAGCAAATGAGCAAGCAGTGCTCAGGATTAATGTTAAACAAAGGTTTGGCTGTCCTGGTCAGTTTTACAGATGGCAACACTTAAAAGCCTGAAATAAACAGTACATCTTAGCACTAACACATTCGTCTACAAAGCTGTATTACTCCTGGGTTTAGTCTTCACTGGAGCTGAGAAAGAGATGAAACAATTTTCAGAGGCTAGAGAACACTAGAAATTTTCACCATCTAGTGTTAAAACTCAACTGAATTTGTAGTTGCAGGGGGCCTGTATAATTTTGGCTGGTTCCAATGTTCAGTATGCATTCCCACATGCACAGATTAACTTCTATCTCTTTGAAATTGACTGGACATGGCAACTTCACCAACTGTAGAATCATTCCTATTTTGCAACCAATAGAGATGACAGAACACATGCCCCCTGTCTAGAAGCTACTTCAGTGGAGTGGAAATTCCCCAACACAGACAAGCCATTCTAGCCCCACATCTGTACAATAATGAAAGGTCAAATAATAGCACAATAAATCCTACTGAAATCAACGGGGTTGATTCAGAACTACCCAATCAAAATCTATATGAAATTCTCATTAGTGCACAATTTGGCAAGCATTTGGTAAGGATTTGTTTGTTTTCCATTTGGTCCTTAGTTATAGTTCTCCCACCATAAAAATTGGTTCATAACAATACTGAACATTGTCTTTTGGGGTATTCTTTTTTGTTTGTTTGTTTGGGGATTGCTCATTTTGGTTTGTTTTGTTTTTTTTCTTGAAAACTCGATATACCTGATTTAAGACAATTATCACCCACTCAAAAATTCCATAATTGGAGTCTGACCCAATAAACAGAATTGTAGGGAACCAGCTCTCACTGCCCAAGTAGCTCAGAAATTTTACAGTAGCTGAAATATGTTTCTCACTGTATTTGCATACAAAATCTCTACCTCAGCTTTCATTCTCCTGGTTTTATCCAGAAGTTACTAGATGGACATAAACATAAAGAAAATGTGTCTGCTTTTAGCTTAAAAAAAACAAAACAAAAAAACCCACCACCAAAAAAAAAAGCCCCAGACTGACAGACACAGGCAGCTTTCATTTAAAATTACCACAGCCATTAAAATTCTGCTGCCAACACTCACGTACTTTCACTTCAGTTTGAAAGAGATGAATGCCTGACGACCAAAGTGAGCAGTGTAGTGTACTAGACAAAAAGATACCTGCTTAAAATGTGCAAGTCAACTTCCCTGCTTATATTTAGAGTTTGACTGTCCACCATTCATATTTCAAGAGCCTTTTACTTTTTTAGTTATTGTAGATTGGAAATTGCACTGTATGAACAGTATTGAAAACAGTATTGCATCTTTCCCCTGTCAGAAAAGTACCAAGAGACAGTAGCTTACTGAGACACAATTAGAATACTTAGACTGAACTGAAAGAGAATGATGGAAAGGAACATGTGATGACAACTTGACAAAAACAGTATCACTTAAAGAAAATAATGTAAGGCACAAAAAAGCCAGTAAGTGATATTACTTGATAAGGTGGCAAACACTCATAATAAAAAAGACATTAGAGTTTTAGACAAGGTACCTATTTTATAAACTGGTTTTACTAACCTCCACCCCAAAAAGAAAAAAAAAATTGATTTGTTATTAAGATACAAAATAATGGATACTGCTGATTTAAACAGAAAATTACTTACTCTACATGCTTCAAAAAGTACAAAGAGCACTGAACGCAAAAGGTTCAAACATTGGCAGGTTTGTCACCATCGAACTACGGTTGAACTTGAAATTTTAGTTGCATTTAAACACTCCCTAAAAGTTATTGTAAATCTGAAAGTACAGAGGAGGTAAAGATTTGCTTACAGATGTGACTGACCTGTCTAAAAACATATTTGCATTTTTCTTTCACTTAAAACTTACAGTCTCATTAATCAACATTCACAAGAGCAACCATAAAGGTACTCTTAAACAAATGCTGAAAGCAAGAGACTTGACTAGGAAAACCAGTTAGGTTTGACACTTATGAATTAAACCAACATTTCTTTGCAACAGTCTTCTTTGCTTGTGACAAAACATCACTCAGGACGACACATTCTGAGGAGAAGCTCTGTTGGACTGTTAACTGCACAGACAGTGGATGGCACCTCCTCTGACACCTGAACTTGCTTAACTACTGTGACTACTAGGGCAAAACACTGGTTGCCTACACACGTACATAATACCTGCCATGCCCATGTGGCCATGAGCACAGGCTCAATCATAGCATATGTTAAAAAAAAAAAAAAAAAGTAATACTTGGGGGTACTTTCTTCCATATAATTTCTGGTAACTTTGCTTAATTTCTAGCACCCAAACTAGCTTATTTTTAAATGGAAGAAATTCTCCTCCACTAGCATCCGCACTTGAAAGCGTCAGAACTGCAGGACATTTTTCTTGCCTGAACAGGAAACCTGCATGCTTTAATTTTATGTTAATTTTCAGAATATGACAGGCATTCTTTAAGAAACATTCAGAAAAGCATCCCCCTCTCTTACAGCAATGCATTTAATTATGCAAGTAGACAAACAAAGGATCCCTTTAGTGATTAGGGACTCCAGTCATCTAGTCAATGAGTTCTAACACTGGGTGGTAACTCATGGCAACAGGGGAGACAGAGAAGACAGCAGGCAAGACACAAATAGCAGTCCATCTTGCTATTCAGGATCAGAAGAAACAGCACTGCAGAGCGAGGAAAAAAATAAAACTAAACAACAAAGAAAACCCACCAGAACATTAATGAAGCTGCCAGAAAGCACAATTGGACCACTGCAATGAAAGGTTTATATTATAGCGCTTACATTTCCCCCACAACCTTTATGCTCTTCCTTTTACTTTGTCTTAAATTTTTGTTTAAGGGCAATTTCATTCTAGCTACTTCATTTCAGTTTTGGAGCTCCGAATCTTCATTTCATATTAATCACCTTAAAAAAAAAGGGTGGCTGAAAAAATTAAATATTATCTAACTTACCGACTGCACAATCGATCGGGCGTCCTCCTCACTGCAACAAAATGGGCTGCCACTCACCAGAACATTGGTACTGAAAAGTAAAATTAAAAACATGTTTTATCAATTGGTGGAAAAGACACACACAATTAAGTACCTATGGAAAAAAACACCTTCACTTACAGAGCTCAGAAATGTGTATCTGCGAGAAATGAGGAAGTCAAAACCACAAATGTAACCAGTGATGCTGGAAGGGGTTGGAGGGATATTCTTTGTTTCTTTGGGTTTGAAGGGGAGTTTGGGCTATATGCTCTAGATTAATGCACACTCAGTGCTTCTGGCAGCTAACTTGAGTACAGTTCAGAGGACCACAGTCAAGAAACTAACCCCCCCAAAAAAAAAGTCAGCAGAGATAAACTGGCACTTCCTGAGGGAGTTGAAGAACACCTAGATGGCTAGGACAGATGGTATGACTATCCCTCCATCTCTTGTGCCTTGAAGGTTGGCCAGATTCTGTGGCAAGACACCCTTGGTTTGCAGTAAATTGACTGCAGTATCTAGCAAAAAGGAAATCTCTGCTGTCATACTTTGCAGAAATATTTCCCAACAAATATATATCCTTCCACACCAAAAGCGAGTTTGATTGTGAGTTTTTAAGGTCCTACACAGTAAATGGCAAGAAGTTCAATTCCTCAAACCAAGGTTGCAATTTTGATTATTTTTTTAATTTCATAAACATGAAGCTCAAAGTGTCTCTGAAATCAAGACCAAAATTGTAATGTTATAGTACATTACTCTTGCCATGCTGAAGTAGAACCTGTCCAACTGCTAAGGTGTTCAAGCTGCTTCAAGAAAGACAGAGAAAGTCATGTTCTCCCAGTAAAGTAGAAGGCAACAGTGAGTGTCTGAGCACAGCTTTCCCCACAACCTTTGCCCTCTGGTTTTGCTAATGGCAATCTATATCCCATGGAAAGCACAAAGGAAAGACACCTGCCTGCTCTTCTGGGCCTCTGGTGCCAGAACTGCCAACGCAAATCAGTTCAGAGAGCTTAATAAAGTCCATTTTAATTTAGATCAGGCCCAAGGCTAGTAAAGAATTTACTACATTACTGAGAGAATTTGGTTCTCTCATTCCAGAGAACCAAAAAATCCAGAATGCTAAGCTGCAAAAGAATTATGCATCACAGCAATGGAGCATGGAAGGATGGAATAAACACTGACAAGAGGATTTGCATGAGATACTGAGATTCTTCCAAAATCATCCCAAACAAACACTCTGAGGCCATTTCTCAAAAGCTGAAGTAATCTATGTTTTCTATAATCAGTATATTTTTGATTTACTGTTAAGTAGTTCCATTGTCATACAAGGTGCGATTAGTCAATCATAGTCTGTTATCAATTAATTATGAATCAAAACCATGAGTACTCCTGTCATCTCAAAATAAAAGAACTAAGCAGTTCATGCACAGCTGCCACATGTTGAATACCACCAGTACTAGCACAATACAAAGAGGAAAAGACATCACTGCATACTTACCACTTAATATTACCTCCATCAGCTTTTTTATGAAGCAAAGCTTTCCAGCATTCATGGGTGGATTTAATAATTTCAACAGCAAAATCCTAGTTTACATCAAGGAAAAGTTTTATGATTTAAAATGTTATTAAACAGGAAAAAAAGCCACAGAACTAGTTCATTAAAACATACTGTTTCATGCGTTTTTTAAGGGGCCTCCTTTGAGGCCTCATTAAATTTCTGGAAAATATAACACCCTTTTTCATGAAAAGAAACAAACTTCACTATCTGTCAAATACATTGGCAACACATTCAGGACCTTCCCTCAGTCCACAGCCAGAAAACACAAAGGCTGCACAAAAAAAAGTGAAATCAGCACTAGATGCTACGCAGACACCTACAGCTGTAGAAAACTGTACTGGGTCCTAAATGGGACAAAGTGTGTGAGCTATGACTCCTCTGTTACGCGTACACATCAGGGTCAGAGTTAAGGTTTCCCCTCTAGTGGCAAAATTTGCATTTACTTCATTAATTGCCCAATCATATACTTAATGCAACACGTCAGCTGCTTAACAGTTTTTGTTTGTTTAAAACAAAAGTAATATTGGGGGTGGGGGGACGGATGAGAAAGCTTCAAAAAAAAAAAAAAAATGTAAAATAATCCCTCAGTGTCCAGATGATGGGATCTGGACTGGTTTGCAAAAAAGCTGCCAACAGAACATTCACATTTCCTAACAAGGAGTGACTTGGCAAAACGCCACTGGAACACAGTGAACTTCACCAGAGCTGCTGGAGCGCAGCCACAGTCGCCTGGCCACATCCTGGGTCTCTAGAAATACTTGAGAATTATTCAAGTGCTCCCAACCCAGTTATCTCGGGGCACTGAGTGCCTCCAACGGCCTGACAGGGATACACCGTTACATTGTCACTACGGAGCAACACTGCTTTACAGAGCAGGAAAATCTCTCAGAGCAGTTCCTGGGAGAACAGGGGAGAGATCAGGTTATCAAGCGTTACAACCCTACATTTGATTGATTTAAAGGACAGTTTTAGTGCAGAGGGAAGTCAGGGCATCTCTTTGACCAGACAAAACATGTAAAATTGGCTGTGCTGGTTAGAAGGCATTTTATAACTTTTGATAGCACACTGCAAGGCTGAACTAGCTGACACATGGACACCACTCACTAAAAACCTGTGATTCTTTGCCAAAAATAATCTAAAGAGAGTGTGCAATACAAGATTTGCGAATCACTTTTACTCAAATCACCCCCAATTTCCTCTGGAAAAAATCCAGGTATTTTCTTCAGCGAGGTCTATTCCCAGGTCCACTCTCCTTTCAAACACTTGCCATTTTTACTGGAGATGGTTTAAAACATCATTCATTTTTTCTAAGAAAGGGAAAAATATTTTTTCAGCCTTTAAGCCAAAACCAGCTCAAATGTTTTTACACACTTGAGCAAATACTGAATACAAAAAAGTCCAGAACCTATTGTCTGTCTCAAACTGCACAGCCTTAAAAAAAAGTCAGGAAAAATTATCAATCAGGACTGAAAAATTACTTGAAAAGACACTTTGTTCATTCCTGACAGGGAAAATGAAAATGCTGTGAAAAAAAGATCTATGAACATACAGATGTGTGTGTAAGTCTCACCAGGATTAGTTCTGCAACTTCCTTTAATAATCAATGCATTTTTCCTGAATAAAATAGAAGGCAGCAAACATTATTTATTTATAGCTTAATAAACTGGATTCAAAGATCCCTTGTATAAAACTTCTTTTTGCTAAACCTCCTCCTTTATAATTCCAAAAATTCTAGGATGTATAGAGAGGCCACATGACAGAAAAATGCATTTTTAATTTTGGATTATCTTCACCTTGTTTTTAAATTCTCCATTAAAAGCAAACTGATTTTCTGGTTTTCCATCAGGAACTTTATATAATCGGAACCAATCAACCGTCGCCTCAAGGTAACCTGGTTTGTGCTTCTTGACATCATCAATATCTGTAGATTTAAAAAAAAAAAAAAAAAAAAAAAAGATCACGGCGAAGCTGGGGATTGTAATGTGGGTCCAGGGTGCTCCAGTGCTGCATTGGGGCTCACAGAGTCAGTGAATTATCAGTTGATAATCAGTTGATAATATCTGCAGTCAGCTCCCTTATGAAATTAAAAAAAAAAAAAAAAAAAAAGAAAGGAATGGTCATTTTTACTTTTTTTTTTTGTACTCACAATTTTTGTAACACTTGTTTTTTAAAGTCTCATAAAGGATCTGCAAGCAATTTGATTTCACTGAGAACTTTCAAAGTCATTGGGGAACTTCACTTTATTACATTAGCTGCCCATAGTTGATATCTTATGATTTCACAACCACACTAAACAGGTAAACCAGTTGCCTCCTGCCCTTCATTAATTAAGGCCCAACGGGACAATGAATAAAAGGACCATACTTGTGACAGGAGAGGAAGAGAATTCCATATTTATAGGCTTTCATCTCAGTAGGTACCTCTCGCAATACTTATTCAGTGAGGTAATTTTTTTTGCTCAGCAACTGCAGGGACTACAGGCATTTTTTGATAATGGAAGGATAGCTAGTAAAAAGAATTTCAACACACGGATTTTTAAACCAGCACTTGAAAACAAAGTACATGCTTGACTTCTCAAAGTTGTATTAAAGGCATCCCTCTGTCACATTATTTCCAAATTCCACCCATTAGATACAAGACAGATACGCGCCAGGAGCACTAAACACTAACTCTGCTGATAACCCTGTGATACCTGCATACTTGCAGTGATAAGCTAATTCTACCTTTACCTCTGTAATCCTACCGTGCAGAAATGGAACAGGACACAAAGAGGAACGCGTGCCATTCGCAGGACACCCTTGGGAGGCAGAGATCAACATTGCCCAGTGGGTACAGAGAGATTAAACAGTTACTCAGGAATCCTGCTCGAGGACCATACTGCTATAGCAAAGATGCTGTTCGTGAGCTTAAACATTTACTTCTGCTGTGCACATCAGATTTTACTGGGTTGTCCTGTGAGACTACCATCACTCCTATCACTTGCAATAAGGTAGTCCTATCAGCCCCCTGGTAAATTAACTCTTTGGCAATATGTTTACATGAAAAAGCCTTCATTTCAATTGTAATTAATTTTGCTACAATGAAGAATTTAGTCCTTTCTGGAAGCCAAGTATCTTTTGTAGCCAGTGTAATCCTTCTCTTTCCATCTATTTTCTTTCTACAGTCACTTCTGATGGAAATGGGAGATTACTTTTTATTGCTGGGCAGTGCATGCAGTCTTCCAGCTATTTCATAACCTCACTCTGCCCAGGCCACTTTCCATGGTGTTATTCTCCTTCTCTAGTGTTCTGCAAATCACTTGCTCATCTCTCCCTTCCTGATTCCCTGTCATCTCATCCCCTCTCTTGCTCCCTCTCCACACTGCTTGGCTACTGCATTCTCTTCTCTCATAGATATGCCACTCTCACTGATGCCTCCTGGTTAGCAGTTAATTCCTGATGGATACTCTTCTGTCTATCCAGTTCTATAAAACTGATTTTCAGCGTTTCTTAGCCCACAGGATTGACACCTAGTCATGTGCTTTCCATCCCTAAGTGCCTACACGTCTCTTCAAAATCTAGTCTGTGAACCTGAACAAAGACATTCAAGTATTTCAAAAAGAGAACAGTAAGAGAAGGGAAAAAGCCTTGCGCTGCAGACCACTCGATTCTCAATAGACCACCGAGAGAGATGACATGAACTGAACTGTGAGACCAAACCTACGTGAGAAGGTATGCTGAGTGTTCATAGATATCTGGCAGATGCCACTTCCAAAATTCCACTGGATCACACAGTACCCAAAGAATAAAACATAAAACTTTGAAGAACCCCATGTAAATTTTCGCTTCCGCACGCACTTAATAGGGCTACGTGTTTATGGACTCGAAGCACAACGCATTTTGAACTTGGCTGCTGGCCATCTGCCTGTAGAAGATTAGAGAGTTTCATTGGCAGAATCCCAGAAAAAAAGCAAGGGCATGGAAGGCTGTGCTAGAGGCAGGTCTTCTAGCTGGAATACATGTTTAAGAGTACCAGAAGCCTTTCACTGGGGTGGGTGAGACCAACCAAGAAGGAATGATTTAGAAAAGGGCGGAGGCAGGATGCTTCATCTGGGCACTAATAAAACTGCAGCTCCAATCCAAATCGGTTACAGGGCTCCAGTGTATCATCCTGTTCTCTCCAAGCAGGGGAATGTCCCTCCTCCCATCTTGAATCCTTGTCATGTCCTCTCCTGTGAGGTTTTGAACTCAAAATTTCCAGTACTTGTTGAAAAGACACTATCTCCTCAAGTCTGGAAAGCAAACCAGGCTGCTGCAACAATTTCCTTGGCTCCCAACAGTGGATGAACTCCAGGTCTCTATCTCCTAACATTACTTAAATTCAGGGACACTTTCTCAGACTGATGATCCTTTTTTCTGGGTCCTGTTCCAGCAAATGTCTCTCCTAATGCTGCTTCTCCATTCCTCCTACTTGGTTATTTGCCTCCTATTCCCATAAAAACCCGTTCATCAAAAGTGCTTTATTGTCTACTGACACTTGGGCCCTTACCCATCTGTTGTTCCTTACCTATAGGCTTTGTTTATATTTATTTAAAGAACTCCAATATTAGAATAGGCTTTGGAGCAGGCTTTCATTACCTCCTTAAGATAGCAATGACTATCTTCATGGATAGAATCATCTCTCTGAATTTCACACTCTCTCTACTGGAAAATACCTTGTCTGGGTAAAATGACTACACAGAATCAGGCTACAGCATTATATGTACCCTATAGTATTGTATATTCTGGTTTTGAGAATAAAAAGGGGCGGGGGGGGGGCAGTGGTTGCTTTTATCTACTTGGTTCCTTGCAAGTTATTCTCCTTCAGCCTCACGCTTCACTTCACTGTTCTTTATTATGGGAGTTGGTGGCAGTCAGCAGGAAAAAGTGCAACAGTGCAACCAAAAAAAAAAAAAAATAATATATATATCAACCCCGTTGCTGTGGAGTCAGCACATAGCACTAAGGATACGGAAAGCAGGAGCTGCCTCTTCAGTTACAAAGTGCCATAGAAAAGCTTGAAAGAAAGCTCGTCCTCTCCACTTTGAAATCCAAACAGCATCTCTGGCATTATCAGGGGCAGAAAAACACACTCATAAAAGAGTAAGCAAAGAAAGGTACAAGGAAAGATCACCATCAGCAGCACACTGAGTTACGGCAGTAGTAGCTATAGAAGCTAGCTACATGCTATGATTAAAAACAAAAATTATAGTTAGATGTCTTTTCTGCAACAGATGCTAGTAGGTTCTTCTTTCTGACCCTGACTGCCTACCTCCCCTGGGAGCAGCGTACTCACACTGATGCCAGAAGGGGCCAAGCAAGTACAGGAGTAGCAAGTACCTACCAGGCCCATTGCAGTCTCACCTCTGCAAGCAAGCCCTGCACAGAGGGGCAGAGCAGAAAGGTTAAACTCCTGCAGGAACGTTATCAGCAACTGGGCTCTAGGTGGCAATTTCTGTATACTTGCCAACACACAACCATAGGTCCCATTTTTCTGGGCACCACGGGTTAAAAAGAGATGGCTAATCACATTAAGGGTTACAGTCTAGTCTCAATAAGGAAAATCTCCAGAGGTTGGCACAAACAACTGCTGCTAGCTCTCTGTGGAGGGAGGGAGCCAATGCAAACGCCGATCCCAATTCTATCTGGCTTTACAAAAGAGAGCAACAAAAGCATTTGTACAAAACTACCATTTTTAGTACAACAGATGCTGCTTCTTGCAAGCAAAGCTAAAACAACATGCTTGCAGCAAGCTTTCTAAACAAGGTCTGTGGGAAGAGAGGACATATGTTTTTAATAACATCTTATAAACATTTACAGGAAGCAGCAGCTACATTCCATATAAAGGCATTTGGTGTATTTTGTGCAGCATGGTGCGAGGGGGTAGGAGGGGAGCCTCAGTACAGATAATTAATTTCTTTATATTGAATGCTTACACAAATCCACAACAAAGGTTTTCAGGGCCTCTGCTGCTGCTCTGCATATAAATACACTCACACGCAAGGGGCTATAACAATATATGGTACAAAGTAGGCAATATGTTTTGGTTTTGCCATTTAGGGTTTGATCACTTAACTCAAAAAGTCAGTCTTGAGTTGCACATTGGAAAAGCAGCATCGCAACACGGCACAGTTAACTACACCAGTGCCAGCAAAAGGTAGGACAACAAAGCCAGCAGACATCACCAACTGCTGTTGATTATATCCAGACATCCTTCCAGAGAGCAAAAAAAGGGCTGCTAAGATTCCAGGCCGGTAAATCACCTCCAAAATGCCATCCAGCACACAAGATTTGTCCAATTTGCTCAGGGAGGGTAAAATGACCTTTTCAGAGTCAGACTTCTCATAAGCTGCTTTAAAATCACTTCCTGCTTCAAGTGCCAGTGATTTACAAAACCTCTTGTCCAACATGAAGATGCCATATACATTTAGACCAAGTTAGAGCACGAAAATATCACTCATGCTTTCTGAGCCCAACCTTGCAAACCACATCAGATATGTATGTGAATTCCAAGATGTTAAATTCAATCCAAATGATGAGATAAACAGCATTTCCACTCCAAGAATTTGCTGCTTTTCCTAACTAGTATTTCACAAACAACAAACAAAAAAAGCCACCACCACCACACACACACACACACACACACACAAAAAAATGCAGCCAGGTCTATTGCACCACCAAGATTTAGTGTTTCAGTGTGCAAGCTAGTATTTTACAAACAACAAACAAAAAACACCACCACCACACACACACACACACACAAAATGCAGCCAGGTCTATTACACCACCAAGATTTAGTGTTTCAGTGTGCAAGGAGCTTTAAGGCCCTTTCCTAGACCTGTTTGGGTCTGAAGTTGCTCTACTGGTCAGCTAATGCCTATATAGGCATAGCTAATGCCAGATAATGCCTATCAACTGCCTGAATAAAAACTAGTTTTCAGATAGCCACATAGACAGATCTTATTGAAACAAATCTGAAGATGTCCAGTTTTAGTCTAAAAAACTCTCATACAGACACCTGCATCTGACATACAGCTTTTATTTGGAGTGAGATTGTCCCCATGCCCACCAGTGTTAAGTGCTGTAACTTCAAACAGATTACCTTCCAAAATTAGTCCAAAAAAGACCCTAAACCCCTGCTATTCCCACTGATGACACAGTTCCTGCTTGAATACGTGTTAAGCATTGCTTATCATTCCTGGGTATTGTCACTATAAACTAGAGTTTCTCACTGTTCTGTGTGAGAGTTCTAGTTAGGGTTTCCAATTTGAACCAGTATTTATCAATAAATGCCTGCAGGACACAGTACAGTGGAGTGCTATGAATAAACAATGAGGACTGCTCAGAAGCTGGGACTGCTCAGTTTTAAGTTCTGTGACATCTCAGAAAAATCAATTGCACTTATGAGAACGATCACAATCCCAGAAGGAGAATATACAGAGTACCTGGGGTGTGCTTAAAGCAGCAAGAGGAGTTAACACACTGCGCGGGCTCAGGATGGGGTTTGCAAGTAATCACCGCTCTGGTGGCTCGGAATTAGCTTTTCCAAGTGTTCACTGGGGGCTGTGCACATACTGAGCTGAAAGCAAATGTGATGATTCTCAGTCCAATTCTAAATGTTTAGTAAATGATGCAAAAGTGACTGGACAGACTTAGAAGGCAACACTTAGCCTCATCTTTCCCTAGGAGGCCACCGCCGTAACACAGCAGCACGTCAATTATTGAGGGAGATACCCGTTTTATCTGTAGCTGCTCTCCTTTTATACTGAAATAATTAACATCTTTGGGAAGGGGGGAAAACAAGTATAAAAGGACATATTGTACTGCCTACTCCAACAGATTTGTTTGTTTTCAGACTGAAGAAGGATTGCTGTTAAACACTGCAAGCCAGTCACGTTTTGTGAAAGCAGATGGGGGCTTTTTTTTTCTTCCCCCCTTTTTCTTTGCTTTTGTAAATCCTGAACTGCAACTCCAATCCCAAAGAGAAATCATAATAAACTGGATAACTATTCCTGCAGTTCTCTGAACTTCAGAAGGAGGGACAGTTCTCTTCTTGAAGTTTTGCATCTATTCTCCTGCACACAGGAATCAATTACAGGCAATGGTTTGCCCATTTTGGGATTTTTTGGAAGTTTTTTTGTTGGGTTTTTTTTTTTTGTGTTGGTTTTTGTTGTGTTTTGGGTTTTTTTTTTAATTAACAAGACTAAAACTCTTACTCCCCTCCCAAACAAACTAAAGCTGTAACACAGCTGACAAGTCATTACCTGAAAAAAAACAAAACAAAACATAACAGCTGACAAATCAGTCATTACCTGAAAAAAAACAAAACAAAACAGAGAGCTTTCCAATAGAGCTACTTAACCAGGTGGCATAAACTGTGCCTGTTTTACCCCTTCTTAGTGGGCTCCTTTTAAATTCTCTCATCCACTCTTCTGATTAAGCTCTCTCAGAAATTGTTAGGGAATAAAAGGCAAAAATTAAACAGAACAATGTATAGATATAAAGTGCTAATTACTTGTCTTTTAACTAATACTTACATTACATTTCACTGCACATTATAGAGGTTTAAATTGATACTAACGTTAACAGCAAACTATTACTTACTATTTCCTTAAGCTGAACTTAATCTCTAACTGTCAAAGTAGTTAAAGAGTCATAAACACTATGTAGTAATTCATCTGCCCATTATTTTAATCAGCATCAACCCAGGAGTCTCCTTTTCCTCATTTCCTCTTCTCCCCTTCTTTCCCCACAGGCCAAGTATTCTCCATGTCTAAGCAACCTGCAAGAAAACTGAGAATGAAGGGCCAGTCTAGTGATACACTTACTTTATATTCAGAAACCAGGAAAAAGCCTCAATGGCCAAGAAACAAAATTCCTTAAAAATCTACTGGATAGCCCTATTCCTACGTAAAAGCCTCTCTGAGCCTTGGTACTCCCTACCAAGAAAGAGCAGGTTCTGATCATACGTACCCAATGGGATATATGGTTTTTGGTCTCATAACAATCACTGACTTTTAGACAAACCTCCTCACGATTCCCAGTGACACTGCATTTGAGTAAGTGAACCTCCATTTACCCAGAGAAAAGCTGTACTTTATCTGTACTGTAAAAACCCTGCAGTTTTAATACATCTGTATCATCTTCTTAAGAAACAGTTGGCAAGCAGAATTACACCTTGTGCTACTCTCATAAGCACATTTTATTACTTTAATTCTATTTGGATATTAGAAGCATGATCACAGGGAGGACAAGTCTGGAGAGGATATTTCCCCCTGCAAGGCTGATTGAGGGTGAGCTGCACTAGCAGTTTACTTTGCAAATTTTCAAGCTAAAAGGTGAAACCTAGTCGTTCGTACTCGGCAACGAACCCTGGAAGTAACACAGTTACAAGTGACAAAACATTGGAAATGTACAGTTCTTTTCAGAATGCAAGACAATGCCTGCAAATATAAAAGGAACAAACACTTTCAACAAGGAAAACAGTAGTGTGCTACATAATCTGAGTGGGTAAATATGCACTATTACAAAGGACATAAGCCTGTAATATTAGGAAGTTGCTTTCTAAGGCAGTTGTGTTTCAGAAGTCAAAAGACTTTCTGCATGACAGCTCCTCTTGAAAATCCAAGTGAACCTTTTCAAAAGCTTAGTGTGAAAGCACATATGCCCTCCTAGAAGGAAGCACCTGATTTAAACATAACAAAACAAAATAAAAAAAGTCTTGCCTTTCTCCTATCTGCCTCTTCTTGTCCTGGACAGCCTAAACTCAGTATCATTCGACTGTGCATTTGCTGACATAACTTGCTTTGAAAAAGATAAAAATACTTGCCATGGATTTTCTGAGCTTCTGGGTCATCCACACCGATAGCAATTATCTTCCAATCTGTCTCTCCTTCATCAACAAGAGCTAAAACGCCCAAGACCTTCACCTGAACAATCTCACCAGAAGAACGAATCTGAAACAGAACATCATCTTACAAAGGTTTGGAAAAACATTACATAGAATTTCCTGTTTAACTTACAAACAAAATAGTTATAGTATATTTTTGACCAGCATCTAACTGAATTGCAAGATAGATCTGTAATCCTAATATACATCTATTTAAGATTACTGCCTTTCTCCAACCATTGCTATTCTTCAACCTTCAGTTCTCCAATCAGCTTTATTTAAGTAGACAACACAAGCTAGAAAATCTTTCCTTCTCTTCTACCCTGCTTCCCCCACACTTTCTTGATCTTCACCCCAAACTCGATCAAAAATATCTCAGGCTCATTTTTAAACTCCTTTCTGCCTCTTGGCTCTCTACTTCTTCTACTCTTGGACTTAATATCTATCTCTTGCTGTTCCTTCCTCTAGACTCTGATATACACATATAAACATAGATCCTTTCCCCAGAAATATGAGCACAACTCTTTTTTGCATTTTATTGGAAACCTTTGCCCAAGCAGCCATTATTCCCTTTATAACTTTCTGGTTCCCTTGAAATTCAGCTTTAAGTTCCTTTCCTCAAATAAAGCCACCTTTGCTGAGGTCACCAATTAAATTTTCCTTTACCCAAAATATCCCAAGAGATCCCTTTTCAAAACTCATTGCTTTCACAACCCCACCTTTGATACCACAGAGCTAAGCCTTTCCCCTATACCTACTAACAGTGTTTGCTGTACCTCTTTTTCATACACTCACTCCGTATCTCGTAACTCTGCAACAGGCTCCTCTCTTCTCCTCTGGAGAAGAGGGATCTACTTCTGTCTGCATCCATGAGAAAGCACAAACCTACCCACCTCCTTTGTGGGTCTGACCTTGTAATTTCATGTGCATGATATCACCATACTTTGTCTTTCAGAATCCTGTTCCTAGCTCCAGTACTACTAACAGGGGGAAAAAGAAAGAAATCTTTTCCTTCCCCCAAAATCTTAACCTCCTTCTTCCTTCACTCAAAACTCGCTGTCCAGCAACAGAACTTCAGGGCGGTGCTCTCTTATTTTCCCTTTTATCCAGTACACAAACTTTTCCAAATCCTCCTTTTTTAAAAATCCACCATTTCCTTACCTATTCCCTCCTCAGATCCTCTATTCATACTTTTGTAATCCCCTGAGACTATTACCATCATTTCTCGTTTTCCATCTGCCCTTCTCTTCCAAAAGTTATTACTAAATTATTAAATTAACCCTGATAAATTCAATTAATCCTGATAAAGACATACCTTTGAGCCTATTTCACAAACATCAATAGGATCATTATCCCCACAACATCCTGTATTGTTATCTCTATGTTTTGGATCTTCCCAGGTCTGTTAAAGGAAAGAGAATTATCAGTTACCAGCTGATCTGCAATTACAATTTCTCTAACAACTAAATTACTAAGATTGATAAACACACCAATAAAAACATCAGGTTTCTCAGAACAGGCTTGCTCAATGGGAAAAGAAAAAACAAACACATAAACAGCCAATGGATTGACGTTGAGTAACTCGTCCTCATACTCAGGACAAGTAACATGAGGATTACTGAGGACACAGTAACAAAAATATTAACTGCATCCATGACTCAACAGACACACTTTATCAAATTGCAGTGATTACGGCATCAAACCTCCACCTCAAATGTGTTCTTGAGAACCTGACTGATACTAAAAGGCAAAACGGTGAAAAGCAAATGCTCAGGTGTTTATGCAGCAGAATCATTACCAAGAAATTGCTGAAGTGGAGTCAAGAGAGAATTTCAACTTCAAACTTATTTTTCCAATATTCTCTCAAAGAGTTTTTTATTTAAGGCTGCATTATACCAGTACTATTCTCCTGCCCAGCTGCACCCCTGCATCTGTAGATTAGAAGCAAAGATGGCTAGGAATGGTATTTTTCTCTGGACAGTACAGCAACTCCTGCAATAATGATAGTTCTACCATCGTTTTTTTAATTCTCTGTTGCACAGCATTGAACAGCAATCACAAGTACCAGGGTTGAACTTCTGGCAACTGCTGATCCTGATGAAAAGCCCTCTTGTGATAAGGGAGACACTGAATTGGATTTTGTTTGTTACAGCTGCCTAGTAGGTATCTGGACTTCAACAATTGGAGAGGTAATGATCCAACTGGTATTTTAAAGTTATTACAGAAAATAAAAGTGGCAATTATCTCCAACCCTCTCTGACGCGCAAGGTAACAAGGGGAGCTGAACATGTCTCCTGGGGAAAGTGTCATCAGTCCAAAATAATGCACTTTGTCCAGGAAAACATTCAAATGTTTCATTTTGGCTTTGTACATGAATTTCAAAACATTAAATGGAATGGCTGGTTCCCAACTATACCTACTCAGAAACTTTGTCTACTGAGAGTGCTGACTGAATAAGAACTTCATTGCTATACTCCAGCATCTGCCTGGTATCTCCTCTTCAGGGATCAAATACATAAGCAGATTTTCAGGAGCAAACTTTCATTGCTTATGCAGTTTAGTGTAGAGAAAATAAATTACTCTTCTAGCTCCAGCATGTTCTTCAGTACTAATTTAAGTCCTATGTGTTATTCACAGAAATTAAAAAAGTTTAAACTTTTCATTACGCTCAAAATTTCAACCACAACTTGGGCCTTTTCAAGGCTCAAAATCTGGAATGTGTCACGATCAGTAAAGTCTCGTAGTTCAGAGAAAAGTTAACTAAGGCAGTTGAGGTTTAATCTAAAAAAGAACAGCCCCTGTGTTCCTCTTTGTTAAAAATATTAAGAAATGCCAATTAAAATTTATGCTCCAATAAATGAAAACTTTAAATTAGTTTTTTTTAAAATGCCTTGTTTAAGCAGAAAAGGGCTACTTGACAAAGTATTCTTGAATGGCATACGATGACAGCTTAATTCTGTCACTAAAGTACAGAGAAACAGACTAAAAATTTGTGATTTCTTCATCATTTAACTCCTTCCTGAAACACGGCACATATTTACTCCCACACCCAAATTCTGATCAAAATTTATAGACATAATAAAGCTCAACATAAAAAAATCCTAATTTACAAATGTATCAAAGAGAAGCACCCCTCTTGCAACTGATTTGCATTCAGGCACTACCCAAGATTTACAAGGCAATTTACACAGAAGACAGAAAACTTTCACCATTATAACAAAAATATTACCTGTGGGAGGGCACCGTAATTCCATATATAACCCTTGTGAGGAAAGATATTTGCCACATATCGAAGCTTGCCTTTCTTTATATCTTGTTTAATGGGATTCAATGGCTCCTCGGTGGCAATCTAAGCAGACCATGAAAAAAAGAGAGAGAAAGCAAGAGAAAGAGAGAATGGTAAAACGGAAAGCAATTCATTCTGTATCCAACCAGTTAGAAAGATCCATCTGGGAGCATGTGCTTGTGGTTTGAGAAGTATTAAAAGTATGATGGCCTCACTCTAAATCTCAAGGGTCATGTTCAAAAAGCAGCTTATTAAGGTTTTAAATAATGTTGTGAAGTATGCAAGGAAAAAATGAATCTAGAAGTCATAAATTTCTAGGGAGACTATCACGGTCAAACATAAATACTGAAAGGAACTTAAGTTAGAAGCTCTTGCACTTTATAGTACAGGTTCAACAGACACCAACCTAACGCCAACTTAACGTGGATTTGGAACAAGTTAAGCTAGTGTTAGAAGGCAGCATTCTGGTTCCCAAAGAAACACAGGACTGAACTAATTAAAGCATCATCATCCTCCCCAAAACCTCAAATACAAACTCTCTGCCATGAGTTACCTGCCATACATCAGCTAATTCACTGTAACCATCCTTTTGACACTCCACACCACAACCCAATCCATGTTGGCTTGGCTCTTGCTTATGAACACTCACCCAAAGGGCATGACATTTGTTACAGGCTCAGATGGTTACCCTGGCTCAGGTGGTACCTAGCTCTCATGCAGAAGCACACAGCCCTTAGTCCATATTCATTTCACAACATCCCTGTAATTTACCTAAAGCATGACCACCCAAACCATCCCAAATGAATTCCACCTTTTTAAACCACACCAAACTGTCAACAGCATGCACTTATTCCACAAGTAAACCATCCCAAAGAGCTGAGATCAAGGTTCACAGATTTCTGGTTTCACATTGATTCTACCTGCTTATGGTCATAACTTCATTGAGTGAAGACCTCAAATATGCCACCTGGGACTTTGACAGATGCAGAGCTCAGCAATGATTTCTCTTGATGTAAACTGGGACAAAGAGGAGTAACTGACAACAGCAGACAAAGGTCTCATGAAAACCACCTTCAGTAAAATCAAGGGAAGAACAACAGAAATGCAACAAACTGACGAGGATATCTGGCACTGGGGATGTAACAGTGGGAAACATTCATCCTAAAGCAAGGTTTCATTTCCTACAGTCTCCATTCCAGCTGAGGGAATCTCAGCACAAAGATGCAGACAAGCCCTGGTATTAGCACCTGACCAGAGTCTGGACTGAAGGACTGCCTTAATGATTAATGCAGTGTATTTCAAGTATGTTAAAAGTTATAGATTAGAAAACTACATCTGGTCTCCTCTATCAAGCCTGAGAAGTCTAAACCCACTGATTTCTGAACCTAACAGGACAGCAAACTTTTCTACCCTTGATATAACATGCCAAGAGAAGGGATGGGACCTTTATGCAAACAGTTCAAATAGTATTGTCAAAGGAAAACTCTGCAAAAGAGAACTCTGCTTCCACAATAAATCATCATCTTAAAATGGAAGGTAAATATCCCAGGTATATAACCCTGCTTACAGAGTAACCACTGCGGTGGTAAATACAGTTCAAATGATCTTCCAGCATCAGGGAGAAAACAGAATTCTGAAATAACACCCTGGTGACGTTCTTTGGTGTTATTTTTAATAATAAAAATAGTCAACAACTCAAGCAAAAATTTCCACAAAAAGCAGCCAAGAAGCATTCCTAAAATTAATATAAATATTCAGGAAGATAGGATATATCTGCTGTTTCACAAACAGTGCAGATGAAGCACTACTCAGCTTCTATATTGTAACTGCAGAGGAACAACCTACTAGGCTCTACTTTTCAAATATCATCCTGCAGGGCTGGATACTTTCAGTCTGTGAGGTCGGCAGGTATTTTTTTGTCACAAGGAAATGCTTTTTGATTCGCAGCTCCATTTGTCAGGATTTGGCCTAGGACACTATGCAGTGGAAATGAGAGGAATTAAATCCTCTGAGTGGAATGCTGTATGAGCAAGCATAAAAATAAATGGCGGACAATGCCCTGCAAGCCAGACTCTGTTGCAGGTATGCTGCACTCTGCAGTCAGAGGGCTGTCAAGAAGCTGTATTCATCTGTGGAAGGGAAAGAAAACTAGACCCTCATCACTTTATAATCACAACAAAAGTGTCTGTAGGTACAACTTCAACTTCATTTTTTAACAGAACATTCTATGTGTAAAGAGTAACCCACACTCTGTTTAAACTCTGACTATTGGAAACCACTTCATTGTCATAACTATCATAGATACCTATATAATCCAAGTATTTTTCTTAATTACCTCCATTTTTGCATTTGTCCAACGAGGCACTTCTACAATCATATTAAACAGGACCTAGAACAAAAAACAATAACAGAACTAAAAATAAAATCCACTTGGCAATTAGTATTTTACAATAAGACAAATTGTCTCCCCTGTATCAGCAGCAACATACGTCACATCTCTCTGTTCCAGCTGCTTTTACACAGTGTACAATTTGTTTGGTTCTGCACCATGACATTCAACCTCCTTGGTTCATCCTTTCCCCACCCGTTTGAGAATATGAACAACTATAAGTCATGGAAATTCACACAGTGTTTCTTATTCCTGTATCAATATTACTCTTCACAAAGTGTTCAGAATGTCCATGGAATGGTTTGCCATAAGGCAGGGGTTCAGTCTACTAGTCAAAGAGGATTGGATGTTTCTATAGGATAGAGCTAGATGCCCTGAAGCACTGGAAAGGACAATATTTGGGTACTTTCCCCTGATGATTTATTTCTTCAGGCCCTCCTCTTTTGCCTGATTCATTTTCATAAAATAAAAAACATGCAAATGCAACAATTACAAGCATTTCTGATTCTCAGTCAAATCTGGTTGAAGTGAGGCAAAAAGAATTCAAAAATGATCGCAAAGCAAGGCCAAGGACACAGACACCTCATGTTTGTGCTAGCCTTCTTAGTAATAGAAACAAAGTAAAAGTTGTTTTAAGAAAGGGAATCTGGGGGGAATAAACCTAAAACTTTTAGAAGAAAAACAGGTAATCCCCTTCTTACTGAGGGGATTAAAGTGACATTTTCCTAAGAGAAAAACTCTGTGTAACTGCTGTAAGGTTTCTTCTACACTACCAAGGAGTACAGTATTAATCAAAATGGGTAACTAGACCAAACCACCTAGCACTGTCTGACCTATTTTCTCCTAGTTACTGAAATAATGCCAAAAGTTCACATTGCCTGGGACATCTCTTCATAGCCGAAGAAAACTTGCATTGGTATTAAAAATCACAACAGTTCATGAAGGACAAAAAAATGTTTTTGCAGAAACTCATAGGAAAAAAAAAAAGTTAAACCAATTAAGGACTTGCACTGACTCTTTAACTACACTGCAATTAAGGCTCCAGCACACTCTTAAATATTTGTATTTTTGCTCCTTGTATACTGCAGCTGCAACAAATAAATATCATTACCAGGGTCAATGCCACAGTCTGATTAAAGTAATTCCAATGGTTCTATGATCTTCTCCTCACAAACAAACTTGGAATGCAGCAAGAAAGCAAGGGAAAATCCCAGCTGTCACTCAGCATTTCTCCCATGAGACCACAATCTATCCACAATCCTGACAGCAAATTCCCAGTAAATTTAAATTACATTCTCCATCCGTAAGTACTGGGCCCATTCTGCAGTCAGTGGCATGTCAGCTGGAATCACTTGTCCTGATCAGGTCATAACCAAATAAAACAAGAAAAAAAAAATTTTGAAAAAAGGGTGTTTCAGATCAGCTTCATAAAGTACACATCATGTATATAAGAATGGTTGAAACAGAGAAGTCATCTGAAGGAGTTCAAAGATGTCAACACTAAGGAAGCAGACAGAACAAAGCAAGGTACGTGCAGCAGCAGGTACGGGAAGGGTTGGAAGAGAGCCAAATAAAGTCTGCACATCCATCTGGGAAACACTTGGGGAAAAAAAAGAAATGTACAGCATGAAAGCCAGTGCTGACAAGAAACTCTTAGGGAACTGCCAAGCAGGTCAAAGAATTGTTCTGACTGGTAGCTACAGGCAGAAAACTTACATACTCCTCCTGGAATTATATACAATGTCTTCCCCTCCACCACAATCCTATACTTCTGTTGTTTAGATGCCACTGTACATTTTCCTGACCGTGTCTAATACAATGGCTTCAGCAGCCTGTAAATCTTGACTTGGATATTTAATTGGTCAAGAGTTATTCCAGGTCTTCGCCAAAACAGCTGTCATGGCTGGACAAAACTGGACTGAAACGCATACAATGCTGCTCTCAAAAAAATAAAAAACCAAAAAACCTACTTGGATTCAACTCAAAGACCAGGCCTTCCTCGTTTGTGGTATCAGTCAAATGTGAATTGTCAAGAGTCTTAAATGTGACAGCCTGACAGATTAATTTGTATGCAAAAAAATCCCCGAAAGTACACTCTCTAATGCTAAGCTGCCACAAGCATTTACAAGAGATTAATAACTTCATGCAGTGCTTACATTTAAAAATAAAAAGTTTTATTTATAGGGCAATCACATTTTCACAGTGATGAGACAGGATTCACTGGTGTGGAAAGGAGAGCACATCCTAGATAGTCTGACAGATAGAAAGAGAGAAGTACACTCCTCTGGTTTTTAGGCTTTTTTTTCTTCTCTTTCCTGTCATTTCTCTCCTTGCTTAAATATCACCCAGGAATTTTTCCATCAGTCTTATTTTCCCAGATCAAGCACCTACTCCTGACCACTTGAAAGTTCCCTCCCATCCCCTGCTGCAAAACCATCCCTGCCTCAGCTGCAAACAGAAATGCAAGTGTCAGACACCACCTGTCTTCACAGATTGCCACCTGCATGTGCCATTCAGTGGTTAGTTTGGGATGGTGAATGCATCTGGTAATTTATATTTTTATCTTTATTTTAAATCAGTAAAACAAAAAATTTCACCTCGCCGAACCCCCAAGTGAGCACTTCCACCCCCTCAAGCAATGATGAGACTGTTTAACAGCCCCTTTGACACACCTTCCAGTGATAGACAAAAAGGTATCTCATGAAAACTCTTGCTGTAGAAAGTTTAGCATTTAACTGTCTTAGTCTGACAGCAGCCAACTGCTCTGCCTATGAGATCCCTGCTTGCTGCAGTCCAGATTTAATCCAAGTTTGCAAGCGCCTAATGTAGAAGGGACTCCACTTCATGACAGCAGAGCAGATGGAGTAGTTCCTACAGGCTAGCCTCATGCCAACTCTACTGGCTGATGGTTTCTTCAGAAGGACAGTCTCTTGGAGCATGCAAGAAAAGAGGAGGAAATAGTTTCCTAGATTCCAAAAAAGGGACAAAAAACCATCTGCTAGGGGAAGTGACTTGACAGAGCCCCAAGGGGCTTTCAACCTAGAGTATTACGTAGCTTGTTTGACTTTGGGTGAGTGTGAACACAAGACAACCATTTGTACTTATGCTCTATTACAGCTTGAAGAGGTGATGGGGAAAAAAAATAAATCCGTTTGCTCAACAAACGGAAGTCAAAAGTGCATTTTCTAATTCCTAAAACTGAATATGAAAATCAGCAGAAAATGACATCAGAAGGAACAAACAATATGTCTAAATGATAGCCTTGATTTCCTAAGAACTACACAGTAAGTACATTACATGGGAACTCACGTAGGACATAAATAAGTGTTTGCTTTATTGGGGTGTTTTCTTTAATGCTGCTTGGCAACATCCTGCATTCCATTTCAGTTAAACATCCTTTTTAATGTACCATGATATCATTTTTGCCGAGACAAGCAAAAATGTCTCTCTCACACAGAGAACAGGAACAGGTTTGGGGCTTTTTGGAATTAGAAAACCACAGGAAGATAAAAAGATATACAAATATCTTCAACATATTCACACAGCAAGTGTTGAGAAAAGCAAGGAAAATACAGACTGTTTTACCCAGGTAAACTGTGAGTCAGCATTCTCTCCACTAAGACTGATGGCCAAAAATAACTGCTAGCTCTGGCTGTACAGATTCTTATAGCAGATAACTCATTTTCATCAGGGCTTATTATTACAAACCTGAATATCACAAAAAAAAAAAAAAAGAACATTTCTGACACCATTTTTACAACCTGCCCTTCTGGACTCCCGCACACCCTTTTCAAAAACAATTTTTCCTTACCTAACTTTCCCTTTCTTGTCCATCTATTTCCTTTCCCAAGTTCCTTAGCTCATGCATTTGAGGGGAGGGTTTTGAATATGTATGATTTTGCCCAAGGTTTGCAACATCTAATGCTCAACTCTGAAGGTTCAGCTAATTTGAAGCAGAAGTGGAGCAACCTATGCAGAGTGAGGAAAGTAACAAAACAAAAGAGGTAAGAGAGGAACAGAAACTCAGTATAATTTCATTAAATGACAAACATCACCACTTTTTGAGGCCTGATTGCCATTCACCATCAACCTTGCATGACAGGGAGAAGAGATATGCTAAACCTTGCAGTTACATTAGTCATTTTTATAGTAGAGTGCTTAAAAAAAAAAAATCTGAAAGCATTAGAAGCAGCATTTGGGGGCTGCTGACCCTTCCTCACTGAGAAGCTCTGGGCTCACGAGACAGCACGAAGGAAAAGCAGCTATCATTTCCATTTCTTTTCTGTCTGCTTATTTGCAGTCTTGCAGGGATTTTCATCAACCAACAACTCAATGTGGCAGTCTGCACCTGAGCACTAATGAGAATGAAAAAGATGAACTGCAGTCCAGCAGCAGTGTGAACAAAGGACGCTGTTTGAAAGAAAAAAAAAAGGGGGGGGAGGGAGGAAAAAAAGAGAAGAAAAATAAGGATTGTCATTAAACACACCCAGAAATAAATGGAGAGGGGCTTGCACATCCATGTTAGAAGCATTCCCAATGTAACACTTGCTACAAGGTATGTGCCAATGAAAACAACAAACCAGATGCCAGCAACATCTGGAGACCAAATATACTGTATCCAAATGAGAAGTCAATGGATGTTTTCCAATATAAATTAACATGCCACGTAACAAAAAAGGAATGCAGTGCCCAGCAAAAGCAAAAAGTGCCTACAGCTTCTTCAGTGTACTTCCCTCATGTTACAGTAAAAAGGGAATCATGAACTATATAAGTTTTTACCCACAGGTATCCCAAAAGTGGTGTCAGGTATATTTTCTGATAAACTAGTTACTGGACACATACACCTGCAAAACTACTCAGCGTATAACCATGACATGAATGAAAACAAAACACTAACTTTGTCAAGTTTAAAGAACCATTTATTTGAAGTTAACCTTGATCAAATCACTGACACAACTTTCTCAGTAAACCAACTCTAGTCTCATAGATTTTAACTGGACTGCTGAGTGAAGATCACTTCTAGTCTCAGCATTTGTTAATCTACAAGAACACATAGCAAGGCTTGCAGCTATTGGACACATGGATAGAATATGGCATGAGGCCCTGTATCAGATCACCTGTTCAGACTGCATGACCATTCTGATGACCCCTTATGTCTCACCTGACTAGTTAATTTATCAGAAGTTTTGGCCCTGACAGAAGCAATTGAACTGAAGCCCACAAGGGCATTCCAGTACTATGCAACCCACAGGATACAACAACAAAAAGACCAGCTGTCTTGTTTCTTTCTATTTTTTTTTCAAATGTTCTTGTAGGTACCTGCAAGTTAGAGGACTATAATCTCCAAATGCTTGAACAGGTTCCTTACCAAGGCAAACGTTTTAAACAAAACTGTATTCCAGAACACCTGGGTCCTCTGAATGAGATGACATGTGAATACTTTACCAAAGACATACAATGACAAGTAGATTAGAAACCCTTCCACTACAGCAGGGAAGCAACATGTCACATTTGTCTTGAAAAGAAAACGATGACCTCTTCAAACCTTCTTCCCGCTAGACATGGTAGACCATATTCAACGATCAGCCTCTGACAGTTCCGACTGTAACCACAGTGGTAAAATCCACTCTACCAGACAGAGCTGTGAAACTTTTGATACCTTTCATAGAGATTTACTTGGGCAGGAGTGAATTTTGAGAGCTTGCAATGCTTAAGACAAAGCAGAGGTTCAGATTGCAAGCTGGTAATAATTTTGAGACTGGAGCTGAATATTATTTCTTTCAGCATAGTTTCTCCCTCAAAATAACTTCTCTCTAGTCTTCAAACAGCCAAAAAAATATCTGTGAAAGCAAAAAGATCAGTTGTCAACAGTGGCTGCAAAGCTAAATTTAATTGAGATTTGTGAAGGTCTAAAATGTTGCAAGAAATGGCTGCACTAGTGAGAACAGTTCATATGGAAACACCACAGCATTTCCCTTAGAACTCCAAGCTGAGACTGCAAAAGAGCTAACCGAGACTTGTACGATGTGCGTTCCCCTATGCCATGAATGTTGAAAGCTGAAACTCCTCTATTTTGAGACCCTCTTTTCTGGTACCAGGAATGCCAAGAACAATTTAAAGTAGATTAGACAGACTGAAGAGACTCATGCAGAATAATCTTCATTTTCCATAGCTAAACTGCCATCTGATGAACACCAATTCAGCATAATTTAACACACACTCTTAAGAGGACCTGCCCCTGTCAAGAATAACAAGTAACTGCCACCCTAAATACACAAGTTTCAAAGATGCCACTGTGTTTCCAGGGCAAGAGGAACCATCAGCTTTGAATTCTGGCCAAATTCATTTCAAGGATCAACCAAACACCAGGTATCAATAGCAGCTTTTGCATCCCTAGACAAGAATAAGGAGTACACTGCTTCAAAGGTCTCCAGAAATCAGTACTTTGCATTAAATTCCTCATTTTCCCTTTATCCTCTGATTAAGCTATGCTTTCCTTGCATACAAGTACACACAGATGCATTTCTCATCAGGCCAAGGTAAGGAGAGCTGCTGAAGAGTCCGCCATAAGAAGAAACCGCTTTCTTGAACACAAAGATCTCTCTATTTTCTCCCTTCTCTCCAACTCCCAAAGATAGTGATGAAAAATGGTCTTCTAAATCATTTGCATTCTCGCATTTCACCATCTAAATAAAGCCCAAGCATGTCTGGAAAGCCTACAGCCTGCATGTTTGTTTGCTTACTTGCATCACAAGCCCACAACGACTGGAATGTACATTTGCTCATTTTCTGTAGTTCTATTAAACCACAGTCCAGAGCTCTCTCATAGCAGGAGTTAACGTGAAGCAGCTCTGGAGTCTATGGCTCAGGAAGCAAGAGCTGCCCAGCCTCAATGGCATTCTTTTCCCCTGCTCCATAGGCTGATCCAGACATCAGAAAAAGGGTAGGAGAAAGGTGGGTTTCAACAAACTATCATGCTTCCCACTACACAGCTAAATGCAGTTTTGAACAGTTTTAGACACTGCATGAAAAAGGCTTTGCATCTTTGCAACCAGCAGGTATTATCACAATATTCATAAGCAGGTAAGAAACAGAACATCTGACTTCCAGCCAGAAGAGTAATTAAGAATCCACATTGCAAGACAACAATTCTTGAGAAAGAATATGTGCCATTAGCCTTTCTCCTCAACAATTCATCTCTCAGGCGTGATTCTACATCTACTAAATAGTAGCTAAATGGGCACCAAGCAACAGGAGATCTAAAAAGCATTACCTGGGCATTGCAGCTTGAATGAATCAAAGGGCAAAGGGAGATGAAATATACAGTGCAGGATTGTGTGGGGACTGTTGTACAGTAGAACCAGTGCAACACCCACTAGTTGCAAAACTATGAAAGTTAGGGCAGTTCTTCCACATCAGATGGGTAGTTACAGTTTTGGAATATTACTGGCCAAACAGATGCAATAAGATAAAGATTAGGGGACGCACGGAGGAACACACACACACCCCTCCTACCACAATAAACTATGCTTTAAGGCCATGATGTATTTCATTTTTTTCTTTCACTTTCTTTTACTAAGTTTTAGTTACTCCAATGCCAGAGAAAGCACTGCAAAAAATGCTACATTTTGGAAAAGGCACCTGCATAAACAAATCCTGTTTCACAGAAAAAAGCCTGAGCAGACCTTCCATGTTTTTTTGGGCTTCTGTTTTTGGGCTTTCTGTTAGGCTTAACTTTAGTGCTGGTTAATGCAGACCATGAGCAGATGTGATTTTTCTCTCTTTGGACTTCCCAGAGGAGTATAGAAAACAACAGATCCTCAGTTCTAAAAAGCAGATGCTAAGTCTAATTTCTGCCCTAGCGCACTTAGGATTTCTTAAGTTTTGTATACACACCAAAGATTACCCACAGTCAGAGCATAATGAATATTTCATTAATGGAGGTTTTATTGCAAATGTTTCTGAATGCAATAGCAAAAAAGGTAACATATCTACGCTGCAACAGTCGTAATGAACCTTTCAGAGTGGTATAAAAGTGTTTGCCTTTGAGAACATCTTGATGAATAAAAGAATGGTGACATTTCTGGCCCATTCAAAGAAGAGAATATTAAATCCCTTTAAGCCTTCTCCTCCTAAAAGACTTGCATTTAAAGATATGTCAACTATATTCAGTGAGAGCAGAATAGTGAAGTGACTTTGGAAAGGAAATAGGAACAGTTAAAAAAAAAAACAAACAAAAAAAACCCCAAAAGCAGCTTAGCAGTACCTCAGTTCCAGTAGTCTTTGACCTCTTTGCAGGAATCTCTTTCTCCTATAGGGAAAGAGTGAAGTAAAAAAGTGTATAAAGAACATTAAAGCACAATACCGTATTCACATAAATACAGGCTACAGTAGTTTTCAATGCAATTGAAACACACCTTTATGTTCACAAAGACCTGAACTTAACATTTAAACGTAACTACTCAGTTCTGTTTCATTCTGAAATTATAACCTTCCAGATGTTAACAGAGGAAGATAAAAATGTACAAGGACACTTCCACTTTCTCCCAGCTACTAAAAGATTTAAGCAGCAATTTTAGGCCTGTCGTCAACTAATTAAAAACATAGTCATCCTTCTGTTTAGTTTTAAAAGATTAAAAACAAAATAAATAAACTAAGCCAGAATGGAAAATAAGACTGGAGTTATCCATCATATAACAAAGTCCACAAATCTTAGACCAGGAGAGGGGAAAAAACATAACATACAACTCCTTACATCCTCCTCTTGCAAAGAAGGCAAAATTAACAGAGATCTTCACAGTGACTCCCTTTCTTGCTACCCCCTCAGGTGTCTATATCCTATGGAAGACCCTTTCCTCGCTCACATACCAAAATGAAAGCCTCTCTACATTGATCAGACATTCGCTGTACTATAACTTAACCCACAGAAAAATCACAGACTACAATCCACCCCTCCAAAACCTGAACTCTAGATGTAGGGACAGCAAGGCTCCCAGGGAACGTGTGATGAGAACGCCCACTGCTTTTCCAGCAATAGCACCCACCAAACAGCATCTTAGTGATGACTCTCTAAAGGAGACTTACCTCTTCCATTGACTAGCACGCTTAGGGTCTGCTGATCAAAAAAGCTTCATGCATATTTTTAATCTTCCAGTTTAAATAATTAAAGAGATTGGCTCATTAGTTCAGAAGTCTCAATCTGAACACGTTACAACTGCTGACCTTTCTCACCATTCGTATAATCCATAGAGACCCAGCAACAAATCAAGAAAACGGCCCAAACCCTCCCAACCTGTTTGTGTAACAAGCATACCATAACAAGCAAACGTTAAGTCTAAACCAAAGACTGGCAGTTCCCACCAGTGACACATAAAAGAGGCGTTTCATTATGGCTATAATGAAACTCCAGGGAGTGTGGCTAACAAGACGTGAAAGTGCTCAGCTGCACCTCACGCCTTGTAATTCTCCAAAGGTGCGATTACCACTTCTCTCTTGGGCATTATTGTTTGCTTCCAATTATAATACTCCTTTTGGGAATTAAAGAAATACACCCTAAGTTATGTAAGCGTGTGCTTTACATCTCCTACTGCAAGGAAACGTACACTTTTAATTGCAGATGTAGAAAAATACCAATTTAAAAAGAGCAATTAATTCAAGTGCACACAAACACAAATGCTAAACACTGAAGAGAATTAACACAAGATTCAGAGAGGGTTCCCCCCACCCTCAGTCACCTGGAGACTTAAAGACACACCTAGGCTCGTCTACACAGTAATCATTATGTTTCACTGAAAGCTATTGAACTCTAGCAGAGAAAATTTGGTGGAGTTATCGTGCCTGTATTACATAAGGAACGAGCCTGGGTTAAAGTGGTCCTTTCTGGTGCTATGTATTTATCTTTTAATTGCTAAAAAACAAACAAACCAACCACCCTATTTTAAGAACTGCACTTTCACCTACAGAGCACCAACAAAACTCGTAGCATTTTGAAATTAATTGTGTTTCAAGGCATAAAGACATACCTCTTTAGATCCAGCAAAGAGTGGAATGTCATGAAATGGGGAAATATATTTACCATCTGCATTCTCTGCAAAACAAAACAAGATGTAGCATTAAAAATCTAAAGATATGCCATAAGTATGCCATAAGTTGGTATTGCTATTATGCATTACAGAAACGCATGATATGCTACAACTATGGATAAGCTAAACTTTTTCTGGAGTTTAATTCCAAGGACTAAAAATTAACCTACACACAGGACAAGGAATTTAATTGCTTTAGTATTCACCATTTATCTTCTGTCTACCTGGGAACACAAGCCATGTAAAGATGAGATGGATCCTTACATTCTGTTTTCTCCTCCTCCCCAGAAATATATAACCATTAACAGAAAATAATACCAAGGGAAGATCACTTCCACGAGCTACCAGTGAATTCATCTGGAAATATATAACCATTAATAGAGAAAATAATACCAAGGGAAGCTCACTTCCACGAGCTACCAGTGAATTCATCTGGGTTTCTAGCAATGCTGCCCTTGTGATTTCACTGTATTTCCAATAAAATTAGTTCATGACCACAAACAGAAAATCTCCCAACATAGTAGGCTAAAGTCTGACCAAAAGAATAAGTGAGGGATGGGATAATTGCTCTGGCCCTAGACATGAGACACCATGCCTTAAAATCAGCAGAAATTGACATTGAACTAACGGGTGCACAATCTGCACCTCAGCATTGCATTGCTCCCACTGTAGAAAGGGACAAAATTCACTGGAGCGGATGCTTAAGCTTTTCAAACTACTCAGAACTTTTTCAACAGACTAAAAGCCCAAGTATTGCATTAAAACAGAAACATCAACAACAGTATAAGGTGCCAACACACAAATCCCAGAGAATTTCTTCTCTGCTAGCACCCCTATTCACAGTAAAGGGAAAAGCAGACAAGGGACTTCCATTTAGCTTTGGTCTGTACTTTGACCACCTCAGTAAAGAGTAGTAAATGGTCGTTCTTTTTTGCAACTCCTGGAAGCCTCCCAGATACTCCTCCCAAATGAAACAAAGGTTAGTGGTAAGCTGCCTATTCCCACTGACTGAAGTGACTTTCTCTAGATGAGCTCCTGCGCTGGCAGCCCCCTGGGGACGGAGCACAAGGGAGCCTTGGCAGGGTACTGCCGACGGGGTATATGACGCCACCGCTTCTCTCACACCAGTGGACGTCAGCATTAACTGCCTGGAAGTCACCAAAACCGTACAAAGCTGCTGCTGGAGATGTGGCATACAAATAGAAAACACTGTTACTAAAATGCGTAATACTCAAGACTGCGCAACCCCAGCTCTCACTGGGTTTTGGGAAGCCTCCTGGAGCGCTGCCCATGCCCTCCTAGTGCCACTTGCCGCTGCTGGCCCCACAGGCCCCTCGGGGCTGGAGCCCCATGTTTGGGCTGCCAGCCTCCCCTCGGCATGACGTTTCTGGAGGGAGGGCTGGCCTGGCCACAGGGGACAGGCCATGCTCCCACTGGAGCTGTCATACTGCAGAGGTGAGGTGAGGTAAGGCTCCCATGGTCAAGGCTGTCTTTAGGGTCCCAGAGCAGCCAGGCTGCCCCAACACTGCACCCCCCACCAGCCCCCAACAACCTCTTCACCCTCCAAGGTGAAGAGACACCAGCCCCCAGAAATTAGCAGGCCCAGCATCTCCTCCACAACCTTATCTGCCAGAAAACCCTCTCATTTTCCACAAAAAAACTCCCTTGGAGTCGGGGGGAAGACACAGAGACATCAGCCAGCCGGAGGGGCCTCAGCGGGAGCGGGGAACCACCGCCGCCGCGTCTCCCCAACAGTGCACCCCCGCCAGGCGCGGGGGGAGGAAAGGTTTTTATGGAACCCGGGGGCTGCTACTTACTAAAGTAGAGGCGGTAATCGGGAGAGTTGGGCCGCCCCCGCTGCTCCGTGCCGTAGCGGGCCATGGCGCCGAGGCAGCGGCGCGGCGGCCGCCCCCCTCCCCGCGCCGCCAGCAGCCGCACCAGCCCCGCCGGCGCACGCATGATGGCGGCGGCCGTCGCCGCCTTCCCTCCCCCTTCCTGCGCCGCGCCGTGCCGTGCCGTGCCGGCCCCCTAGCCGCGCCTAGCAAACCTCCGGCAGGGCGGCGAATGGCGCTACCGGCCGCCGGGAGCTGCTCCTTTGTCCCCCTCCTCGCCGGTGAGGCGGAAAGGGGAGCAGCAACCTCGCCGCCCGCCGCGGCTGCTGCCTGAGGGAGCACGCGACCGTTACCCCCTGAAGGCCCAACATGGCGGTGCGGGCCCGCGGGGGCCTGGAGGAGGTTTTCCCTGAGGGGATGGCCGCTGCCCGGCCTGGGTGCTGCCCCGTTTTCCCCGCGAGGCCCGGGAGGTGGCTGCTCGCCACTGCTGAGGCCAGGGCGAGCACCTGGGAGGAATATGGAGGCTGTAGGGAAATAGGCATATTGGAAATAACGGAAATAAAGCCCACTTGAGGTGGCAGGTGTGTGGCCCCCCCCCAGAGGGAGCCAGGCCAGCCTGGGCAGGTGGTGGCCCGGCTGTACCCACGCTGAGGTGCATTCAGGCCACCAGCACTGCCAAAAAGCGTGGAGGCAAAATTTGGGGTGATAGTGACAGGGTGGTTTTCTTACCTGAGGCCGAGGGGGGTGTGAAGACCCTGCCCTGCTGCTCCCTACAGAGGAAAGTGTTCACTTCTTCTTGGCACGCAGTTTTATGTCCCCCAAGCCAGTCTGTCTGCACTGCTTATAGGTGGGCTGTTTGCCTGCATTCCCAATGGTAGATGTGTTTTTATGTTGAATCCCGCTGATACTTAATTTGGATTCTCATCCGTATTCACATTGTGCTGGTTTTACAGTTTATTACCCCTCCATATGATCTGATTCCCTTGAATTCTCTTTTTCTTGATCCTTGAAGACAATTTCAAATTAATTTCATCTGTCAGTACAGGGGGCAGTTCTTGGAGTAGTGCTTCTTATTCGTGGATCTTTCAAAAATTCCCCAAAAGGGGCAGATACCACAGTTTGCATTTCATTGCTGGAGAAACTGAGGCAGAACAACTTTGGTTGCTGTCGTCACTCTTAAATCCCAAGCCAATCATCTTGTGTATTCACCTCTAGAGGTGGTGAATTTTAGCTTCGAGTTTTAACTCTGATCTGAATTACCCTGAAAGATTTCTGCCGGGTAACTCCATATTACCCTGATTATTTTATACACTATTTTAAAGGTTACTGGGAATGATTTATTTGCAGCAGAAAGGCTAAGTCAATCTCTTCCATCAGATTTAAACAACAACTTCTTCCTTTTATTTTTCCCCTCTACTCTTTGGTAGATCAGGCTTCAAAAGCGCCAGGATTGTCCGTTTGGTGTGTGCAGTAAGGACCCAGCATTATTTTACACCAGTGGGAGATTTTTGTGATGGCTGCAGTCACTGTTCCTCCAGGTGGTCTTCTGAAATGTTGGTAGTTGCTGCTCTGGATCTTGATGGGAGCTGGATTCTAGTGTGTGGATTCTCCATGACAATGAAGGCTCTGGGGACAAAAAACCAAAGCCATGACTCCTCTGATTTGTGCCATTGCTTGCTGTATCTGTTACAACAGACTTATCTCCAGGAGAACAGAGAGGCCATTTTTGCAGACCCATTGTCCACCTCCGCAGAAGCTGCAGAATAGTAGTTGGCATTTCACCAGAGGAGTTGATGTCTTTCTTCACTGAGTTCACCAAATGCAAGGTTTTCAGGGGTAACCTCCTCAACTGGACTTGTGGGAGTGAAATTTTTCATGTATACGGTCTCTGTTTGAAGTTCCTTATTTTAAGTTTGTCAAGGGGCAAACCATCTGTTTTTCATGTGGAATAATAATAAAAAAGTAGATAATTGGTTTCTTTTATAAAAAAAAATCCATTCTGTGCTTTCTTTGAGTTGGCCTGCTGCTGAAACAGGCAAGGTTAAAAACAAACATGTGCCATAGGCCTACCCTTCCACCTCTGCTCCGTTCTGAGGAAGCTGGATTTCATTTATGGAAAGTCAGAGCCTTTGAAAATCACTGATCACACACAGAGTATTTTTACACTTGCAAAGTTGACAGTTGGGTGTACGATTATTCTAGAAGGAGTCCAATATATATTTATTTCCCTATACAAGCTGGGAAGTGAAATACACTGCTGTGGCCAGGAGTCCCTGTAAGATGCACAGTCTGGGCGTAGGATTCTCCATTTCCTTGAATTGTGGACGTGGTCTTATCTAAAGCTTTCTCATCTGCAATGGGAAATCAACTGTGAAACGCTTGGAATTTATGAAATATAAATGAGTTTCTGTGCAGGCACTTTTTAGATGCATAAATAGATACCATCATGTTACCTGGCCAGGGTAGATGATGCAGCAGAAAAACACACAGAAACCCTGTTAATGCTGCCAGAGCTTAGAACTCTAAGGTATCCAAATTTCTCCTAGTACTGCATAAATAATAATAATAATAAAGCTTTAAATAGATTTGAGTGTATTTCCCAGTATTACACATTATATTACGCAGAATATGGCAGAAGGAAGCACAGTACTCCTCAATTCAGATTTGGGTAAGACCAGCTTCCTGGCTAGAATAAATTTACCCAACAGTCTTGAATCTTTGAAGCAAATGAATGTTTTGATTCCAGTATCTACATTTAGCAAATTCTTCAGAATTACAAAGGCTTTTACTACCAAGGTATTATTTACTTCTTTTTTTTTTTTCCTCAGGCATTTTACATCCAACTCCTTCAAGTGTCATTCCAAGTGGCCCAACAAAAGGCATGTATAGGACTGATCCCATTTATTGACCTTGAAACGGCTCCCAGTGAAAGACAATGAAAATATTGCTATTTATTTCAATGGAATTAGAACCAGGTCCTTAAGACTTAAGTAGGACTTACATGGTACTTGGGTTTTATGCTTGCCCTCTGCACAGGGGTGAATCTCATTCCAGCAGAATGCCACTGGAGTATAGCAAAAACTCAGCAGCAGTATAATCACCTAAGCCTGAAGGACATCCGTACTTTAAAAGTTTGTACTCTGCAGTGTACACTGATATTTATTTTATATACATTCATATGCACATGCATATATGTATAAATATGAATGTTTTACCCATGAAAATGCTGTGCAAATTGCAGAAAACATTATATTAGAATTTTTAAAATAATCATAAGTTTCCCTTTCTCCTGAATGAAAACCATTTTCATCTTTTCAGCTAATAAGGCTTTGAAGAATTTCATTAGTACCACTATGTGCTATTTCAGTACGTTTGCTCTTGACTGGTGATTACATCGTTATCACTAAATTTTGCTGTAATGTAACTTCTGTCTCCACAGCTTACAAAACCATTCATCTGAAGGAATCAGTTCCTGCCAGCCTTCTATATTGCTGCCACCTGTGTGCAAAAGGCCAGCAGCCCCCTGGACAGCCATCCTCCCCGTCCAGCTGCCTCGGTGGAACAGGTCACTGCTGGGTTTAGGAGGAGGATGTCTACGTGCAGCCTACTCGCACATGTATTTGCATTTTAACATGATGACAAATGCCTGGTGGCAGCAAAAGGCTACATCATCTAACTAAAAGGAACAAATGGTTTGTTTCAGTGGGTAGAATTAGCTTTATCAGGTTATGTTACTTTCCACCTCAACGTGAATAAAGACAGAAGCTCCTATCCCAAAGAAACTAAGTACCTTGGGTCGGATTGTGAGCTTTTTTTTGTAGTGGTGAACTCACTTCAGCAACTCTATTGCTTTAAAAAGACCGATCCTCTGTATTGATGCAAAATTTGGTTTTAGTCATAATATTCACTGCCCTGTATAGGAAGCTGTCAAGTTTATGCACTGTTTGTTGGGTTTTTTTCTGAATAAATTGTTTCTTTGAGCTGTTCGCTTTGTTTTTAACCACGCTCTTCATTAGGCTCCCTGTAATATATGTTAGGATTCTCTTGCCAGGTTAACTTCTCTGGAACTCTGCTGAGAAATTGATTTGCCTATCAAGAGGCCAGGACACTGGGGCTGAGTCAAGCTTTGTAGGATATGCCCATTTCTTCCCTGCTGGGCATCTGTACTGAGTTCATTTTAAGCCCTGTGAGCCAAGGACTTTCAGCCTATCATAACTCCCACCAAAACTTGTTTGTGAGCATGAACTAAAACTTAATTTTGCTTTAGGACACTTATCTTCGTTACTCAGAAGCAACTACCACCTCACAGAACAGAAATCACTAGAAAATCAACAGAAAACTTTCTTGTTCTTTTTTTCGTTCGTTCTTTCACATAAGTGCAAATACATGAAAAGAGAGAGAGAAAGAAGGTTCCAGTTCAGCTATAAAACTGCTGTCTGGGAACATGAAGTTTTAGTGCAAAGCTGCAAATCTATAATCATTCAAAACAGGGACCTAGAAGGAAAATCTCACCTATTGCTTGTGACAGTCTTTTTTAAGGCTCCATTCCCCTCTTGATTTGTGAATTGCCAGACATAAGGTTCTCAAAGAATCCCACAGAAAATTTTTCATCTCTGGTAATTTCTACACCCCCCTATTTTACATCGAAACATAACAATAATGAAGATTCATCTTCCTGTCCTTTTATCTGTGCCTCGCGCGCTCGCTTGTCTTTCCTCATTAGCTTTGATATCACAGTGCCATCTACTTGATCAGCAGAGTCAGGTTATTTTCTTTAGAAAATAACTGCACGGCTCTAACCCCAAAGAAATCAAAGGGCTGCTCAGTTCCTTAGTGGGTTCCCCTCTCCTCTGCACCTCCCAGCCCTTTCAAAGCAGCACTGCCCTTAGATGTGCGCCTTGGGGAGCTGGCCCCGCTCCTGGCCTGTTCCACAGACTGACACAAAGCCCCCGGCTGGGCGGTGAGGGATCTACTGGTGCTTGTGAGGACAACTCAAGCCCTGCTGACCCTTCTCTCAGCATCCCCTCTCCTCTCTTGCAGGTGGTTCGTTTGAGAGCCGGGTCCCTCACTGTCGGCAAAAAAAAGCATCAGCCTTTTGTCTGGTGTAAAGTAGGGCAGAGTCTTTGTTGGGAGTAAGAAAGCATCGCAGCAGTCGGAGGAGATGGATTGCGCAGCCTGACAGGTTGAGCCATCCCTTCTTAGAAATACCCACAGCCTTGCCTGAGCCCCGGCAGGCATATGCTTTATTAATTTCTCCTACAAATATTTAGACAAGAAACACTATAGACAGGGCTAAAAGAAATTATCACTGTGCACCTGCTTCTAAAGACCTGTTTCTCTACAAGATCAACAGCAGGAGAGAAGGTGACACTGCCACACTAAGTAACTTTTCACCTGAGACAGGCTTTTTTCTCTTTTTGTACTATTGAAAGGTGTTTGAAGTTTTTTTTCCCTATGTATATTTCAAAGTAATTTTGATTCATTCATTGTGAAAAAATCGATGTGTAGACTCCAGTTTTGCCTGTCCTTAAGCCTTCCCCTTTTATTGCTTTTATCCTCACCCGTCACTCCGTTCTTACCTTACTGGTGTATCTGCAAATGGGTCGGGTGGACGTACTAGCAACTTTCCAGTGCTCAAAGTCCTCAGTGGGCCTTACGTGGGAGTGTTCTTATCAAAGCTTCAGCTTTTTATCCCTGAGAAGACACCTTTGCTATGGCTTGTGCATACAGGCAGAGTGACCAGAGGTACAGGCTTGCTTTTACAGCCACCTCGGCTTCCTCGTACGGGTGCAGGGAGCTGTAGAAACATCTTCTCTTTTTGCTGCCATGTTCCACCTGTGAGGAGGGTCGGTCAGCTTTCTGCAGCAGAACCATGGTACCTTTCTGCTTCTCCACTGCCTGTCAGGTGGAATCGCTTTACACGGGCAAAATTTGTGCTGGCTGGTGATGTCACTTCACTCCACGGCTGCATATTGCGACTCTCTTTCCCCTGGCTGGCCGTGCTGGCCATGGCAGTGAGCAAACCTGAAAATGGCAGTCCGGTGTCACTGCCACAGGACTCCAGCAGTGGTCCCTACCTCCCATCAAAGGGAACAGGCACAGCGGTCACCCCGCACCACCATTTTTCATCTATGCTCCAGGATACTAAGTTATAAAGAAATCTTCTGTAACAGCTGTGAGGTATTGCAAGAAAACAAATAACTGTTTGCTTACTTAATGGCCATCAGTCTTGATGGCGCTCCCGGCTCATTTATACCGAGATAAAGGTTAGCATTGACCGTACAACAATAAGCTCTTATATGCATCTAATACAGTTGCTTGGGAACACAATGCCAATATTGTCTGTGTTGACACCAGCACCTGTTCTGCCTCTTAAGCAGGGTGGCTTCCCTGCACATAACTCCTATGTGAGCGTTCGCATCAACTGGATTCCAGTTCGCTTAGGAGAATTAAATGAGCGCAACAAACAGCAGTTAGAGAGATTTTCCTGCTAATTGTCAAAAGAGCGTTTTGTCCACGTAGATGCCAAATATTCCCCCTTGTCGTGCGGATTAGTGGCTTTGATACTGCTTGGCCATCAGTTGTTACTGCGGCCAGAATGGAGCAGGAATAATTGGGAAATGGAGAGCTGGTTGCTCATACTATTGCTTGTGGCAGCTGACGTGGAGTGCTCCACATGCACTTCTGACCGTGCTTTCTGTGGCATTTTGTTATACTCCAGGTAAAGTACAGTAAAAAGTAATAAGAGTTTATAGAGTTTCTTGCTTACAATCCACTTCTGATTGTTTTTACGTATTCCTCCTACTGACTGCACCGGCACAGCCCACTAGTGTAAAATAATCATTGGATTTAACATGATGATGGATAAACCAGGATGTGTCTCAAACTTCCCTCCCTCTAGAGGGGGTAGGGAAGCTACTGGTCCTGAACGTGTCCCCCTCACTGGAAGTATCACAGAAGACATGCTATTTTCAGCCTTTTCCATGCTAAGCGGCAGAGAGGAGATATTTTGGGGCTGCAGAAGGTACTCATCTACATTTCCAGACTGCGGTGTAAGCTAGCCCTGGGCTCCTGGCTGCCTCAGAAATAGTGCTGCTGGCTGAAGCCACATAAACCATTGCAAGCACAAAACCATTGCAAACCACAGCCAGCTTTCCCCGCCACTGCTCCCTTGCTGAACGAACACATACCTCTTCACACCCTGCCACTGAGTTGAGGAGGAAGAGGAAGACAACTTCTGCATGTGGGTAGATTGCTGTCGTAATAAGCACCTGAACAAACTTTACTGTATCCTATCTTGGCTCTAACTCTGCCTATGTGGCAGAGAGGCTATAAAGCCAAGAATTTTATAAAGTTTGTTCTTCCACCTCCACCCAGCCAAAATATATTCCCCGGTTCTCCCCCAAACCATCTTAGTTTAAATAGATATAATGAAATCTCATATAAATGATGGGGCCTGTGTCTTCTGAAAAGCATGGCACCATAAAATCCTACCTGGGGGCAATACCTTCTCTGGGCAATGCTGGCTTAAGCCACCATCAGCCCTACCCTCAGCTGCCCACACGTGCCCCTGCCTCACCCCCTGCCTCATGCTGCCACAACTGCTGGCGTAGCTGGGTGCTGGACTAAACAGGAGCACAGATCCAGATGGAAAATAGCCCAGGGGAAAGGGGGAAGGGAGGGAGCTTTCAGCCAGATCAGTTCCTCCATCTCATCTCAAATGTGAGTGTTTTACACCTTGCAGCAATAGTGGGAACAAAATTATCTGGGGGAGGGGGGCGTTCTGGATGGTGACTGTTTAAACCAGTTTTGCCACCCTCACTGAATGCCAAGCCATTGCTTCAGAAAAAAAAAAAAAAAGCCCTCAGGAAGTCCCCAGTGCAAGGAAATGGGATGGTTGATTTCCCTCAACTCCTACCTTAATCTGTTTACTTGTTGCTGGGGCTTCGATGCTTGTCACAAGGGTGCCACTGGGTCAGTCCCTGCGTATGCCTCTCCCCGCTGTCACCACTGCTCTGCCTTTCAAGGAACTTTCGTGGTCTGACTTGCAAAACAGTTAAGAGTTTCTTAGGGAATATCAAAGAGGAGGCGAGACCAACCCATGAATTGCCTACGTAACGCGTGACTTCTCTGCGCGAGCACAAAGTCTTCCCAGTATCCCCCTCACTGCTTTCTTCCTCTGCCAGGCTGTGTGTTTGGGCTGGACACTTTGTGCAGCACTGGCACGGTGCTGCCACTTGACGTCGTCAATTGCTTAACAGTTTCATAACCCTTTTCCTTTCACTGCTGGGTAGAAACGAGGAGCTCTGATCGGGATGTTGCATCACAGACCGGATTCTTAAAGAAAAATAAAAGTTGGAAAGGAGGTTACGCTACTACGTCGCATCCCTGCTTGTTGTTCTCCGCTACGCCGTCCTTTGGGGGAGGCAGCCTGGCGATGCTAAAGCAATATCCATGCCAGCCTTTGTCAGAGGGACGTTAGTTGTGTCCCCCGGCAGATGCTGTGGCAACGAGCGTGCGTGCGACTGACACCGATTAGGCTGCACCACGGGGCTCCCAGCAGGCGTTTCCGAGGGCAGGGAGGGCCGCGGGGGGCGGCTATCACAGCAGCGGCGCTGATTGCTACTGATGGCTGTTGGGGCTCTTCCCAGGAAAAGTCCGGTCCAAGCTTAGATGCCAGCAGCTCCTGCTGTTTTAACATGAGCTTGATTAGACTGGCGCTACGGAGAATCACCAGGCAGTGCCTGCGTGCCAGAGGCCGTTGCTAACAGACAGGGTAATGAGGTCTCTTCCAGGGGCCGATCCAGAGGTATTATGAGCAGGTGTTGTGCTGTCCTCTTCCTCGCCCATTGGAGCACGGTGATTTGTTACGACGGCCTCCAGAGGTTCTTGGCAGGCTTTCACGTCGCTTCTCTGTGCGTAGTGTAAAGCAGGACACAGCCTGGTTTGAGACCAGCATGGACTCCGCACTGCTTCCCACCTCCCCAGAGGGGTTTTCATCTCCCTCCCACCTCTTTTCTTCCTCCTCCTGGGGGATCGGTCTCCCTCCAAACCTGTAGATCAGGAGTTTCCAGTCTAAAGGCTTGCGCACCCCGGTGGGGTTGGGAGCTTGGCAGCTGCAATTAGATAGGGTAGGAGGTGAGGTCCTGACCGGGCTGCAGGTTGGGTGCTGGCTCCGGGGAAGGAGAAGGAGCATGGGTCAAGGGGGTGGCTGGCCTCCCCTTCCCATGTGCCTTGCCTTCAGCAGCACGGAGAGGGAGGGCATCCGATGAAAGGGAGGGCATCCGATGAAAGGGAGGGCATCCGATGAAAGGGTGGCCATGCCCTGCTGCACTTGGGCATCTCCCTGCTAGCGGGCAGCAGGGGTGGCCCAGGCAAAGCTGGGAGGATGCGACTGTGCTCCGGGGGGTGCTGGCACCCGTGGACCCCACGGCGGGGCAAGGAGTGTACCCTGCAGGGGGGAAAGGGCCGGTGCGTGGCTGCGGTTTGGGGCTGGCTCTGGAACCGGCCCCGCCAGGCGTGCTTGCACACAAGGCAGGTGAATGCAAACACTGCCTGGGGCGTCAGCTTCCCGGGGGTGGAGCTGCTCCGGTACAGGTGGCAGGGCTGAGCCTGGGCCCTTGCGGAGCCCTGCTCCAAGCCCAAAGCCACCAGCTTTCAGCTGGGCAGAGAATTCACCTCCCTAAAAACCAAGCTATTGCCCCCACGCCGCCTGCCAGCGCTACCGCCGAACAAGGCTGGCCATGGCGAGCATGGACTGTGCGGGGAAGGAAGGCGTGGGGAGCAGGAGGAGGAATTTGACCCTACTGAGGAACAAGCTGTACATGGGGGAGAGGAGGAGGACGGAACCTGTGGTGGAGAGCACCGCCACCGCCGGGGACCATGGCACCTTGAGGAGGAGTCAGTCCGACAGGACAGAGTACAGCCAGAAATTACAAGGTACTGGGGAAGCTTACTTGGTGCTCTGCTCCGAGGGATGCTCTGGGGTGGGGTGGGATCTTGACACCCTGCAGGCTGCAGCCTGGAGATAAAGAAGGGAAAAGCAGTCTCTGTCCCCGCACGCTCACAGTTGGAGGGAGCAATTGCCCCCTCTCACCCTTGCCCCCCACTTCCAGAGTGTGAAACATTTCCTCTGATTTTTCTAAATAGTGTCCTGTAGACAGGATGCAAAATCAAAGGGTTTGGTGCGTTCCTGCAAAATCCATGTGCCACTAGGGTCTGTCTTGTTCGTCATCAGAACGCATTTGCAATGCAAACAGTGATGTGAAAATACAATGGCTCCATCCTGTCTGTCCTTGGCTGGGGTCTTGTACGAAGTGGGGTACGTGCTAACTAATTAGAAGCATCAAGGGCAGTTTTTTCTTTCAGTTAAAAATACCAGGATCTAAAATGTGTTTATCTGTTGCTCAGATTGTACAAGCCTGAACTGAAGTACGTCCAAGTCCATGTTTTGATGGATACACTGATTCAAATTCTACAACTATGGAGAGGGTTTCTTTTCAAATAACTAAATTGCATCTGGACCAGAAATAGGCAAATTATGTCAGTATTGGGCCTGTCAATCAAAAATTCAATGGGTTGCCACAAATTGAAGAAAAGCATGAAGAATGTGTATGGCTATATCTGGGAGTGCTCTGGAACACAAACTGATAAATTTCTGTGGGTTTCCAGGGTCTTGAACAACAGGGTCCCATCACAAATCTGGGGTTTGAGTATGATTATAATATAAATGTCTATTACTAATAGTGATATACCTGCCTAATGACAGTCACTCTTATGGTAATAATCCTTTATGGGGAAATAAAACAGGAAAATACTTTGGGTTGCTGTATTACGGTTTTCATGCACTTAATTAGGAAGTAGCATTCCTTCAGAGAGACAATAAAAGCAGAAAATAAAATAATAAACCTGAAAATAATAGGATTTCTACGGGAGCTGCATGGGCTGAAAACAACAGAGCAGTCATTGATTATGCTGTTCCCTCCTGGTGATAGCTAATCAATGAGAAGATGAAAAATTGTCATTTAAGTCAGGCACGGGCTGCAGGGATCTGGCAGGGGTATTTCAGGTACAAACACTAGGGCTGGGCAGGCAAGCTCCTAGCATGCATCCCACCAAAAGAGCAGTTTTTGACTTATGAAGGGGGTTACCCAGGTGAGGCCAAGGTTATCGGAGCGGTACCCAGCAAAAAGCGTGAGATCTCTCTGTTCCACGTCAGGTGTATTCATGCCATCAACGTCTCCTGTTTAAAATGAGGACCGTGGGAGGCAGGGACGCCTAGGTAGTCGTGGCAGAGCATGAGGTTATGTTTATGGCAGCAGTCCAAGGAAACAGTAAATCCAGCTTTACGGCTCCTGCCACCAGCTGAGACTGCCACGGCCACCTATTGCAAAGCACCGGCCCGGTATCGGCTCACTCTGCTTGCTCGCCTTTCTTCAAGAAAAACAGTGATGGGTTAACAAGGCACCTGCAGGCTCTAGATTGGATTAGAAGCTGCCTGTCCTCACAGTGAAAATACAAAGTCGGTAGAAATTCCTATGAAGTACATTTACAGTCCCAGTAGGAAGAAATGTGCTTGTGTGCCAAGGCCTGATCTGGATCAAATTTTGCTGAGCTAGATGTGCCTGGATCTGATAATAATGATCATGGATCCCAGACCTCATGTGTTACCTGCCAGCACCGATGATATGCAGTGATTGGATGCCTCTGTGTTCTTCATTTTTCTCACTAGCACTTGGATGTGAAGCAGCTTACTCCAAGGTGAGGGAAGTGGTTTTGTTGGCACAAAGCTTGTGTGTTCTCCATTCTTGGCAAGAAAACCCAGCAGATCTGTTGGGGACATAAACAAAAAGTCTGTTGTGTATCACCAGGTCGGGACTCTCCAATCACCCTAGAACGGTAAATGCTTTGCAAAAAGATAGAAATAGTAATAACTTGCACTTGTTTCTCTTATGAATCGGAGGAAAAGCTCTGTGTTTGTTTGCCCCTCCCTTCTATAGTCCTCTGTTAGTATGGTTGCTAACAGACAGTCTGCAGAACTGTGGTTGGTATTAGCACAGACAAGGACATGTAAGACAGGAGCAAACCCTGCAGAAGGGAATTCCCTGTGAGCAGGGCTGGGAAACCGAGAGCCAGAGGCTGGAGGATCTCCATCTCTGCTCGTGGCAGGCAGCCTCAGCAGAGCGTGGGGACCAGCCTGTCTTTATGCTGGCACAAGGTGAGGCATGGGCAAGACATCTCTCAAGGGCCTTTCCAGTCCTCTGCGTGCTTTATACAGTTCCCTGAGTAGAAACCAGGCTGTTGCCTCCCCAGCCATTTCCAGCAGCTCTGAAGTATACGCTCAAAGTGCAGCTTGGTGTGCTAGACACATAGGTCCCCAAATAAAAGTCCATAAATAAACAAACAAACAAAACCCGAACCCCAAAACAAGTGAGCCAGCAGCAAGAAGCTCCTGAGAATTCAGTTTCTGCTCTTGGATTTCTCTTAAGGTTTGCTGTTTTATACAGAATCCAAAATGTTTGCTATAGAGAGGGAGTGAGTGAGAAGGGAGCCTACCACCCAGATCTTCAGGGTAATCGAGGTGGTTTGCTCTGTTGCAGGTCTACAAACATGAGCACAATAGCATTGTCAAAGGTGCAAACCTCTGCAGGTGTTCTTCACTTTAAAATTAAGGATACATTGAAACAACAACAAAGCATTTTGATTGTTAATTATTATACTAGATACATCTATTCAGTACCTTATCTGGTGTGAATGGCTGTGCAACACCTCCCGGGTTTACTCTCAGAAAAGGAAACAGGATGCAAAGTAACCATTATGTTCTCAAAGAGCCTGGAAGGCGCTAGTGCATCTATTTCAACTCACCCTGTGAGGTAATCAAATGGCTGCCGCTCCCTTGTAGTTGGTGGAAAATACGTTGGTTGCTATCAAAGGTCAGGTTCATGACACAACCATGCAGTCATCCAGAGCTCAGGTTGTAGTTGCATTCTTGGATGACTCCAGAAATACCTCGATCAAGCCATATATATTTTTTTTCTTCTTCCATAGTTCTCCATCAACTGGACAGAAGCATCACTTTTCTAAAGAAGGAAGAATGGGGTTAAGGAAGACATCCAAATGGCTGCAGCTCCATTTTAGTTGGTGGAAAATACGTTGGTTGCTATCAAAGGTCAGGTTCATGACACAACCATGCAGTCATCCAGAGCTCAGGTTGTAGTTGCATTCTTGGATGACTCCAGAAATACCTCGATCAAGCCATATATATTTTTTTTCTTCTTCCATAGTTCTCCATCAACTGGACAGAAGCATCACTTTTCTAAAGAAGGAAGAATGGGGTTAAGGAAGACATAGAATCATAGAATCAAATGGCTGCAGCTCCATTGTAGTTGGTGGAAAATACGTTGGTTGCTGTCAAAGGTCAGGTTTGTGACACAACCATGCAGTCATCCAGAGCTCAGGTGGTAGCTGCATTCTTGGATGACTCCAGAAATACCTTGATCAAGCCATATATATATTTTTTTTTCTTCCATAGTTCTCCATCAACTGGACAGAAGCATCACTTTTCTAAAGAAGGAAGAATGGGGTTAAGGAAGACATATTCACTAGCATTTGTGATAGATGCAGAAATAATACCAAGGGTCATTGTAAGGGCTAAGACACAGCTGCTGTTATATTTCTATGTAGTGCTTTGCTCTACATTCACTAGAAAATCCTGCACATATGTCCTTTCAAAAGAAATTAAGAACTTGCTGCTATCCTTAAGCAATGGCACAACATGGTATTTAGCAGCTCTGTTTTCAAGTGTATTATCTGTACCTGTTTAGCTGGTAGGAGTTGATCTCTTTTCTATAGAGAAAATTCTTCAATAGCAGCTGTAAAAGTAACTTTATTATTATCTATGTATTGCATTAATGTTGGGATCCGTCTTTAAATTAACCTAAAGCTACCATTCTGTGAGTATCTACAAGTTTTGGTAAGAGGAGTTTGCTTGATGTAGTTATTGGCACATGGAAATTTGCAAGATTAGGAAGATTAAGACACACTGTATCGTGGGGATAGACACTATCAACCAAAAAGGGCAGACCATGAAAAGGAAATTAAAACATCGTTCACTGTTTGTTAGGGTTTGGACAGATTGTTGGGTTTTGTTAATAATCGTATACCAAACTTGTGCTTGGTGTCAAATCTGAGCTATAGAAAATGGTGGGTTTCCAAGAAGGAATCAGAGATTATGTAGTTATTGGCACGTGAAAATTTGCAAGATCAGGGCAGATTAAGACACACTGTATCATGGGGATAGACACTATCAACCAAAAAAGGTAGACCATGAAAAGGAAATTAAAACATTGTTCACTGCCTGTTAGGGTTTGGACAGATTGTTGGGTTTTGTTAATAATCATATACCAAACTTGTGCTTGGTGTCAAATCTGAGCTACAGAAAATGGTGGGTTTCCAAGAAGGAATCAGATATTGCATTTGCAGTGTTCAGTGACAAAATACACGTTTTGAAAATACTTGTCTTACAGATCTATTATATATTCTATCCCGTACAGCTTCAGCCACAATATGTTGCCTCAGAGCTCATCTCTGAACCCCAAGTTTCACGTTTCACCTGTGTCTGATGTAGTCAGGAGAAATCGTTTTGAAAATACTTGACTTACAGATCTATTATATATTCTATCCCTTACACCTTCAGCTGTGAATGGGCCAACTGCACTGTTCAATGATTTGCATATGGTTCCATTTAAAATATATCAGTGACGTACCTGTCATAGATACAGGCATTCAAATCACACAGCTACCACAATATGTTGCCTCAGAGCTCATCTCTGAACCCCAAGTTTCACGTGTCACCGGTGAAGAGAGGATCTGATGTAGTGTCTGATGTAGTTAGGAAAAACAACTTGAGACCAGAAATGACGCAACAACCTGCAAAATTAGACAAATTCCTGGCCGGCTGCTACCCCTTGATATACCAAAGCCCAATCAGAGAGGCAACTCATCCCCCTTCACTCCATCCCAAGCAGGGCACCTTCCTCCATCCCATCCTCCTCCCCGCCTGCAGAGCACACTGCTTCTTCCTCCCCGCACCTCCTGCCAGGAGCAAAGATCCTCCACGCCTCTCCCCGGTTCCTTATTTGCTTTGCACTGTACTTACTGATTAACTTTCCATGGACTACAATGCAGGTCATATCCTATTTCACTGCAAAATGTATTGATCTTTGGAGCTGAAATACAGTAAGGTTTGCTGAAATACAGTAAGGAGTAAAAGTCGGGATTATTTCCTGAAGTGGAGGAGATGGCTTGATGAAAATACCCCCACCCTGCCCTGTGATGAGAAATCACAATCTAACAAATACTTTTATTTTCTCCCATGCAAATTTAAGCTTGGATTATCTAATTCTGTTAACTTGCACTGCAATAAAGCCGGCGTTATTCCTCGAAATCGTTGCAGTGGCAGCCAGGCTGGGAAGCGAGCTCCTCTTTTACAGAGCAGAATCCATTTTGTGCTGCTGTGTTTGCACAAAAGCCGGCGTTATTCCTTGAAATTGTTGCAGTGGCAGCCAGGCTGGGAAGCGAGCTCCTCTTTTACAGAGCAGAATCCATTTTGTGCTGCTGTGTTTGCACAGCACTTTGCACAATCACATCCTGCCGTGTGGCTCAGGACACTTAGGAGCTACTGCAGCAGAACCAGTCACAGCAACCAGGGTGAAGGAGTGAAGTCTAGGGCCCAAGGAAGTTTATGGATCCTTTGCTAAGTGTATTAGCAAACATTTTATGGGGATACTTCGTGCTGTGGGTTGCCCAGCTCACAGTCTGTACAGCTAATCCACGCCAGATCTTGAGGCACACAGAATCACAGAATCTTCTAGGTTGGAAGGGACCTTAAAGATCATCTTGTCCAACCGTCAACCTAACTGACAAAAATAGACACCCACACAACAAACAAGGAGCATCATCACTAAACCATATCTCCCAGCACTTCATCATCCCGTCTTTTGAACACCTCCAGGGATGGTGCCTCAACCACCTCCCTGGGCAGCCCATTCCAATGCCTGATAACCCTTTTGGTGAAAAATTTTTTCCTAATATCCAGCCTGAACCTCCCCTGGCGTAACTTGAGGCCATTTCCACTTGTCCTGTCCCCTGTGACTTGAGAGAAGAGACCGACCCCCATCTCTCTACACCCTCCTTTCAGGGAGTTGGAGAGAGCAATAAGGTCTCCCCTCAGCCTCCTCTTCTCCAGGCTGAAAAACCCCAGTTCCCTCAGCCTCTCCTTGTAAGACTTATTCTCCAGACCCCTCACCATCTTTGTCGCCCTTCTCTGGACCTGCTCCAGCACCTCAATATCTTTTTTACACACATGTCCTCGGGGAAGCAGTTCAGGTGCAGCCCTTCCTTGGTTCTAACTTTATTAACATATTAGCCCCACGCTGCAGGAGTGGTATGCTTATACCTGTATGCTTATACTCCTGTATGACACACTGGAAAGGGTTATTTGTAAGTATTGGCTCGAACAATAAGGGCATTCTTCTGTCACCCGATGATAAGCTTTCTTCCCTTCCACCGTGGTCACATGGGATCTCTCTGTAGTCCTGTCAGCACACATATAATTAAAGCAGTCCGCTGTCAAGGAACTGAAAAAAGAACTTGCGTGTTGAATGTAAATATTTCCTCTACCTTATGGAACAGAAAAATGATCAAAGATTGAATGACCCAATTGCAAGGAAGTCTCTGATGCAGATTTTATGAGCGAACCTGTTGCCCAGGAAGACTGGTGCAAGGTCATTCTGGTCCTGCCGTGTTCTCCTGTGGTGTTCAGAAGCGGGGCTTCTCACATGTGTGACTCACAGTCTGTGTGCAGAGCAATGAGCAATGCTGCTCTTACCTTCGTCTAGGAGTAAAAGAAAAAAAAGATATTTTCCACAACCCTTTCCCAATCCTTTTGCATTTCAATGCCCAACTTGGAGTTCAGCGGATCTAATTCACACCATGTTTACACCATGTAGTTGAACTGTAATGACTCCGGTGCAAAACTATAAGGACACCCCCACGAAGTGGTTCCTCACAAGGGGAGGAGGATCTGGAGTAAAACCCCTTCTGTGTTAGCTCATGTGATGCACTTCTCCCACATGCAGCGGGACACTCCATCCTTTCCCACTGCTTGTCCCATTTCAGACTCCCTCACTTCCAAGGATCCCAGTGTCCCTGTGCCCCAGCAGCTTTCCCAGCACCCACAGTGGAAGCAGAGGTGTAAGAGGCAGAGCTGGGGCTGCGGTGCGAGGGGAGATGCTAGAGGGGAGAGGAAAGCTACCAGAGCAGCAGTCTCTGAACTTGGCTGCCTGTGTTTCATTCCCAAATCCAGCTGATAAAAGCGGGTGTACATTCCCGTGTGGGATCGCTTAGGTTATCTGAGGGTACAGGCTATCTGAGGACTTGCTTTCACAGAGGAATGATTTTATCTAGGGTGGTGTGTGACTTAGGTTTCACAGGTGAAAACACAGCACTGCTGTCATTTGTTTGTTATACCTTGATAACTTACGCCTTCGCTGCTCCCCTGTGCCAGGCAAAACCTCTGTCAGCGTGCGTGTGGAACCTGCGTTCCTTTGGTGTCCTCCAAACGCTGCTTGGTGTCCTCCAAACGCTGCTTGGTGTCCTCCAAATGCTGCCTGAGTAACAGAAAGACCTGTTAATCACTCCATGCACCAACACCACTCGTTGCTATATTCTGTGCCAGTATTCAGTTCCAGATGGGGAGAAACCTGGGTCCTGGCCCTAAGGGCAAATGTGTGCATTTTACCTGGGACGAAGGATGGAGAGAATAGACCTCTGGGAGCTGCTCACTCTCTAGGTGGAAAAACCAGGGAAATTTGGACGCAGACCTGCTCTGGCTGCTCCTTGGGTTGGCTGCTGTGGGATCCCCCAATACCTCCCCTGGACCTAGAAGAGAGCTGCTGATTTCCACATTTGCAGGCTCTGCTCCTCCATGCTGTCACTATATTGCTGGATGTCTCCATCTGGGGGATATTTTTAGACTCCACACTTGCAAGAAACTGTGTAAGACATGTGGCTGCTTTATCCACGTCAACATACAGCTAAACTTTTGTTTCACACAACTAGGGTTGTGTACTTCAATATGTACTTCAGTACACAGCTGGAAAACCAAAGCCATAGCCTTCCTCTCCAAAGCAAAGTCCTCCAGAAAGGCGACTCCTGCAGATAACTTACATTGCAAAGCAACAGTTGCAAACACTACCTTCTACTTCACATTTTTATGCCTACTAAAAGTCTCAATTACTTTTTTTGTGAGCTGGTCTTAAGACGTAGCTGTCTAACAAACCATTCAAGAGACTTTTTTTTCTTTTTTTCTGGCATCTCTGAGGACAAAAGAGCCAAATTTTTACTGTAACAGTTAACGCTCAGCGATGTCTCTTGCCGCTAGTCCTCTCTCTCAAACCATTTTGGGGCTAATACATGTTACCAGGTAGAAACGAGTCTGCTTATATTTCAGATAGGCACTTGCTGTTTGTGCATTCATTAAAGTTTCACTTACTCCACAAGGATTTCAGCAAGCTACTAATGTTCTCAAACGGGTCAAAAGCAATCAGCTGAACATGAAATCACAGGTTTTGGCTGTAATCATCACTTCAGGATCTTGCTGTTGCATTCTATAGAGACAGACATGCCTGAAATGAAAAAGTGAATGTATTGAGTGAAAATGGAAAATTGTGTTACTTTTAACAAAAGGATACATTTATTAAAAAACATGTTTTCTATAAGGAAACAGCATCTACCTGATATTTCTCACGGTTATTTCTTCCTGTTGAGAATAGTTTTTTCTTTCCTGGCATTATTATCTATCATGCAATAAGGATAATAGATGAGCCCTGACATAATTCAAGAATTAAATTTGATCAGGGTGATCTAATGACATAAACTGAAAGAACAGCTTCTTGAGGGATTGTGACTTGAAGCCTGAAGTGGGATACGGTGGCTTTATTTTGCTCATATAATGCCCTCCCCTGCCACCAGTATAAAAGATTAGGAAGTTCTTTTGCACGGCATCTTGTGTTTACCTTCAAATTCCATCTGATATCATAGCAGTGCTGCATCTGAGATGGCTACTTCTGAGATCTTCCAGGATGTCTGGTCCTCTCTGCGCTTTCTCAGGAGTCGCCCTGAACTCTCACACACAGTCCCACACACGCAAATTTTTTCACAGCCAATATCTCAAGAAAAACGCCGATTTTGGTGCAGAACTGGAACAGAAATGGATGGTTCATGTCCTTCCTTTTGAATTTATAAGCGTAGTTACATATAGTAAGTTTTTAGAGGGAAAAGCACCTGCCATTTTAGCACGTAAGCAGCAGGCAAAGTGGTCTCATTCTGCAACCCCAGCAAAAGATCGTTCAGAGGGAGCTGTGGAGTGATGCTGGCACCAATTTTACTGTCCTCCTCACTAAAGTAAGGGCAGAGTCTGTTTCTTCCAGCACACAGAACCTTTGGTGGATGAGCTCTGCAGCAGGGTGAGCTCCTGTGCAGTCCGTGCACTCACATAGGCACGGACTCACTAGGGCAAGATTCAGTTGAAAATTCTTTTAGGAGCCCAAAGAGAGCCCAAAAGAGGAGACATCCTCATCATGGTTCTGTTTTATTGGCTGTGTACAAACTTGAGGGCAGATTGTTCATGCCTGTGTTATACAGAGACTTCAAGGCTAAAAATTCAAAGGTAAAAAGTACATCTAAATAGGAAAAAGTCAGAAAAAACAGCCCCTCCTCCCCGGTTTGTTTGGGTTCCTTGTCCTCGCTGTTTAAACTGTCAGTAGAGAGGCAGAGGTGCAGTCCCAAAAGCAGCTACTTAAATCAATAACTACGGTCACATCAGCATTACTAGAAAACCCGGTGGGAGAAGAATTAATAAAAAAACTGTCCTTCCTGGGTGTCAGTGGTCAGCGTAATTGTAGAAAGTGTTGGGGATGATTATACCTTGGATTTAGAACATTGTACAGCTCTTAGGGGGAGATGGCTCAAAGCCCTCCCTGCTGAAAGCTGCTTGCTTTTCCCACAAGTCCAGCTCCAGGTTGTCACCTGCAGCCTTGGCCAGTGGTGTACTGGTGAGCTGCACGCTGGTTGGTGGTCACTTGAGCACTCAGGACCTCGCCCTTGACAATCAGTTCAAACAATTGCAATATATTCAATATTGTCTATCAGCGAGCAAATCTTCAGATACTGCTTCCTATTGCCTCATTATACAGCAGGCTCCCCACAAGAAGGTGACACAAAGACGTAGCACTCTGATCCCCCGCAGAGATTCCTGTCCTTTACCCATGGGCAATAAAAGCCCGTGCTGTCAAAGCATGACCTGGGTAATGCGGAGATGAGGCAATGATATGTCCATCTTTGTTGGTGCTCTGCACCATCTTGTGGCTAGCAGGAAAACACCAGCATAACCTCTGAAATCTTTCACTTGTCTTTTGAGGGTTTTTTTTTTGTGTGTGTGTGTTTTCCCTCATGAAAAATACAGCTTCTCAGTGTACACAGATGAAATTTGGTGCCCTTTGTACAGCTGACATGGGTGTCTGCAGGCTGGAGTAGTAGTAGTAGGGAGAAGTAAGTAGAAGTAAGGAGAAGACCATAATTACAGATAAGTAGGTTGTGTGCACATCCTGTAACATATGTATATATTACTTATCTGTAGAAGACTCACTTGCATTTCCATGCATTTGGAACAAATCAGATATCCCACGTCTTAAGTATAGAAAAACAGTTAAGAATGTCCCCATTACAAATTATCTTTGTTGTTCCAAGAAATGTTTCTTCTTGATCATGTCCCCATTAAAAATTATCTCTGTTGTTCCAAGAAATGTTTCTTCTTGATCATTAAAGGTTTTCCCATATTCTCCTGTAATTCCTTTGCTTCTTTCAAAGAAATCTTTTTAAACAGAATTGCAGGTATCATCATCATCATTAGTAACACTGTCTTCATTTGAAAGTTTGTCTTCCAGTACCTACAGCCCTCAGCCTCCCTGGAGAGGATTCAATGGATAGATTCATGGATAATGGATAGATTCAACATTAACCGTATAGAGCAAAGGTTATTCCAGTGAAGTTTATTTATGGTAAACACAGCCTTTTTCTTCCACAGGAACGTTTTCTCCCACCCTCCAAATCATAATAGATGTCAAACAAAGACTGTGTTTTCAAAGGAGTAGAAGGGCATCAGCTATCCTTGAATTTCAGAGTGACAAGGATCAGACCCTCCTGTGCTCCATGGAAAACTTCTGCCCACATGCATGACATCAAAGCCAGGGGAGCCGGTGATGGGTTATCCTCTTACCGCCAAACGGATGGTTTCCTTTCCCAAATCTGTGTCCACTTTTAAAGGAGGGAGATGGGACGACACTCAGTCTGATTAGGAATTGCCATTTCTTATGATTCTTTTCCTGCTCCCCATGGTGATTTGGGAGTTTCCAATGGGCATCGGTTACATTCCACCACGGTCACGCGGGACAAGCCGGGTGAGCATGCTGTATTATGATGCTCCTCACAAATCTCCTTCTTTTAAACAGAAAAAATGGCCCCGCAGACAGGGTCTTCAACTCCTGCCACTCTGCCGGAGGACAAAGAAGAAGTTACCAGACGCATGATGGCCAAGAGGGCGAAAATCATCACAGAACTCATGCAGACAGAGAAAGACTATATCAGCGACCTGGATCTCTGCATCAAGGAAGTGATTCAGCCCCTGAGAAACAAGCAGGTGAGTGCCGGGGGCGGAGGACGAAGCAGTGACGTCAAGGTCTCAACTCACCCACGTTCTGCTTGCAGATGATGTTAATGCAAGCACAAGTGTCAGCACGAGAGCGACACGGTGCCGGGAGCAGGTCCAAAGCTAGCTTTCTGGAAAGGGATGTGCCAGGGCTCTAGCGAGGAGAGTGGGAACTCAGATACATTCCTGACACTTGTGCTGCCCTTGCATAAAGCCTGCATCAAGGTACTTGCCCCAGAGGGCTGCTTGGATGCTGTATCCCTGCTCGTAGGCTGCAATAGTAGCTTCCACCTCTCTGTACTCCTCTGTAATTATAACCCCTGGTACATGCCCTGGCAGACCTTTACCGGCACCTCCAAAAGCAGTAAAAGCCAATAAAACCGAGTATTTTCCATGATGACAACCTCAAACAGCATGAACCTCCCCATCAAGGTTAAATTCAGTCATAAAGATAACTTTATCCAGCCTTTCAGACAGCTCTGGTGGAAAACACCATGCCTGACAGACCAGTGAGCACTTCAGAAATTTGCATTCTACACAGAAAAGGTACATTTAAGAAGGAAGGCTCATAAACTATCTTTCAGGCAAAAGATCTTATTTGGCCAATGAGACCCATTTTCTTTTTCAGCTGAGACTTCAAAGAGCACCTTTTCCTGAACAATATTTCAATTTGTAGAAAAATTGTGCAGCCAAAAGCTGGGAATAGAAGAGCTTTGTCCAGAGAAAGATTTGTATTTATGGGGCCTGCAACATAGTGTTCACAGAGGCTGCACAAATGGTTTCTGCTGCTAATACAGAATAAAAATCATTTTAAACAGACCTTAAACCAAGTGTTCTGTATGTAGCATTTCTCATTAAATTGGTGACAAAGTACAGGTTCCAAAGTGTCTTCAGATGGCATTGGCACTGCCTCTTTGGGAAAAGCTGCGGCCAGTTGAAGCCTGTGCTGTTTAAGCTCCTGCAGGACCTTTTTTCTTTCTTAAAACTCTGTCAGAGTTTGTTCCAATCCATTTTCAGAAGAGCTGGCATCTGCTGGCATAACTTTAAGAAGTTCTTGACTTCTTCCTCCTCACTTGTTCATCCACTTAGAAGTCATTTCCACTTGACTCCCTCCCCAGCTTTGCCAGCACCGAGTAAGAGTACTCCCTGGTTGAACTCACTGTGGTTTTTGACAAACGTATTGTATTCCTTTGCTCTTTTCCAGCCAACAGAGAACATATGCTTTGATTCTTTGTCCTTTGGCACTGTATTAACCTGTGTTAAGTGTCCATGCACAGCGTAGTTCCAAATCCTAAGTAGGCATTGTGCTGGAGCTGAGGTCAGACGTCTTGTGCTAGATGTATACAGGAAAAGTAATTTAGCGATTATAACTATCCTAATGTAATAACCTCTGCATTTTTGAAAGGCTTTCAAGAATGTTATATGGTTTTAAGGCTAGTTCTCGGATAAACTACCGTATTGAAAAATTGTAATATGTTTAGAGAAGGATAGCATTTAGAAAATTGACCTAGCAATGAATCTGTTTCATATTTCCAAATGGATAAAACATGTTTTAGCCCCTATAATAGTTATAAAGAAATTAACTGCATTAGCATGCAATTTGATCCTCCTGGCAACTGGTAAGCTGCTATGTAAGTCAGCAATTCTGTTTCTAATGGAGAGATGGATGTCAAAATGAGCCTTGCCTTTGTTCTGGGTATTACCACGTTACCACTGGCTATCTCCAATTGTCCCTGAGTATTAACTATTGCCCTGCTGTGCAAGGAAATACATAACTACTGCATTAAAAGTATGTGTCCTGGAAATTTTTTACTTGCTCTAAAATGAGTAGGGACACAGAACCAAATTTTCTGTTGGTGTAAGTTGATGCAGTTCACTGAAGTCAATGTTGTGCGCCCAGGCTTTGTAGGAAGCTCTTAAGGCTATATTAATACCCAGAATTGTAAATGTGTTTGTTTTAGTGGAAAGTATATGATCTTGACTGTATTTTTGGATCTATAAGGACAACTAACTTAAAATAGTACTACCAGCTGGAAGTCTTTATACCTGGTAGCTGGCACCAAAGTGCCAAGGTCTCAGTTTATGTAGCCTCTGTTAGCAACTGATAATTAGGGAATCAAACCCACTGTCAGCTATTCTTTTCCTCGGTGGGAAAGTAAACAAACATTGTAAAGCCAGCTGAGGATCTTTTCTTTATTGAGATGATAATATTTATTTCCTTCCTAGGTAAACACTTTCAGATTAGGAATGGTTCAAAATAAGGTTAAAAGCACTTGATAAAATGCCCTTTGTTAACTGCGTCAACCGTATTTTACTAATCTGAAAACTGTGTATGTGTCCTTGAAGTCACAGGAGGATGTTTATATGAGGTTTTGCAGAAGTGGTGCTTCCTGGAGTGTTGAACACTCGGGGCATAGCAAGAGGAGGTCTGTAATACACAATGTCCTTCTTTATCCTTCGTGGGTAGCTGCTTAATATTTGTATTCCATTAGATTGCTCGCTTTGACGTGGATGGCTTGTTTAGCAACATTGAATTGGTCCATCAAGTATCAGCCAAACTGCTGTCATTGTTGGAAGAAGCCACGACAGATGTGGAACCACCCATGCAAATAATCGGTATGTTTACTGTCCTCTTGAGTTCTACAAAGCTACGTGAAAGAATAAACATAACACTCTCCTGTTCTCTACCCTCATCAGACTTAACTAGTACCACCCCCAGAGGCTGACATGCTAAAAGCTGTCCATAAAGACACAGGAAAAATGACATGTGAAACCTGTCCAGTTGCTCTACTGTACTTGTATGATCATGATGCTCTTTTTCCATCCATCTGGATGTTGAGGGGAAGGAAGGAAGGAAGGAGAGAGTGAGTTTAGCGTGAGTAAAAACTGCAGCACTGAGTTATGCCACATACTGATTATAATCCTTCTCATCTAGTTTGATATTGCCTACTTAACTTTGCTCACCAACTCTTATATTGCATGCTCATAAGTGTCCCATTCAAGAAAAACGTTAAAAATTATTGGAATAACCATGTCACAACCCCACCCTCCACCTCCCCCCAAACATTGCAAAAGTATCTACTGGCAATACAATTAATGTAAGAGGTGGTTAAATGTGGTTAACAGGGCCATGGTCATTAGAGGCAAGAAAGCAGTAATTGATAGGAAGTTTGTGGGCATCTGTGCAGGAATGTCTGTAGGGATCATGGATATTTTCAGCAAACAGGTTGGGCCTGGATCTGCCACAACAGTCACATGTGCTGCAGATCAGGCCATGAATGTTAAGGTTGTGATCTGTTCACTTGACATTCTGGCACAGCTGGAGAGATTTAAGAAGTTACCGCTCATCAGCTCTCCCATAACTGCTTCTTCAGTTCAGAGACAGTAGGTCACCCACCTTAAGGGATCAGGTGAGAATGCTTAACTTACTTCAGTGCAAAGTCAGCCAGTTTAGTTTAAAAAACTTCCAGCCATGATTCAGAGATCAGAGAGGTTCGTTCTTCCCTGAACTGACCACAAACCACAGGTAACATCTTAGAGAAAGGACCCCTCCTCTCACAAATACTGGGGTAAAAAATTATTGGTTGCCATTTGATTAAGAAACATGGTATTAAAACATGTGAGGCTTGGGAAAAAGAATTAATCCTAGCACGTCTCAATCTGGTTTGCCAAGGCAACAGCTTAACATAGTTTGATGCGATTGTGTTGTTTGGCGGTATTTCAATAAAAGTGCATCATGATGAGTCATACCCTTAATAAGCAATGTTCTATTCTAGCAGGAAGTGCCTTTCTCACAGCCAAGAGAATCATCCTTTTAGTTCCCTGCCACATCCAGAAGTAAAGGCAAACAATTTCATCCATCTACTAGGGTGTATTTGTCCAGAATCAGCCAAAGAACCATGAAAATGTATGGGATTGTGGATCACAGAGTTGGCTAACTTATGGCAGAGAAAAAATGGCAAGTAAGGCATGAGATGTTCTTCCCAAGGCTGAGACAAAAGCAGGGAGAATAATTGCATAACTCTAAGCAATAAGTTAGTAAGTTTGTCATCCTGTAAAAGTACATCAAGGTGATAATTTTGATTTAAAGATCTTCATAATCAGTCTAAAAGTTGTTAAAGCCAGTCTATAGAAAAAGCAGGCTGAGAATATTTAACATACCTGTCATATTCTATCAGGTTTATGGTATTTAAACATCTTCCATTGAAATATCTGACTTTGGAAGGCAACCCAGTCATGGTGAGGTTGAGGAGCACTGCTATCTCACTGGTCTGAAACCAAACCAATGTGGTCGCTTGTATTCATGTCTTCTTTTCCACACCTTATGCTATGTCCACATTGACAAATAGTAATGTCCAATAGAAGCAGACTTGCAGAGTGAAACAGTTGCTGCTGAGGACCTGGTACCCATAATACGCATTTCAAGAGGTTTTACTTCAGATTGGCTGTAGCCTGCTCCTGTGGTTTAAGAGATGCCCTTTATAGTTGGATTGCATAAGATGTGCCCTTGGAATGTGTCTTCTGATAATTACCTTCCTCAAAGGAGTCCAGTTTGTGTGTCTGTGTCTGCTCCACCACACAGCCAAGGCATGGGAGATGAGGACTACTGAGAGATTGACTTCAAAAGCCCTCTCTTAATCTGAGCTAAAATGCTAGACAGAGTTTTTGTGGTGCTTGGTGCCACCGAGGTTAAATACCTTTTCTAGTTCTCTCCTGTATTTTTCATCCTCTCTGTTCTGGATGCTGTATTCAGAGGAATATGAAGCCTTGGTACCCTCACCCTTGCTTTAGCTATTAGACCCCTTCTTCCTCTCTCTCCCAGTCATGTTGACACAGGAAATACCACTGAAAGCCACAGGGAGAAACCATTTCTGTTGCTCAAGCCTTGCTCCTAGGATTTTCCCTTTGAGGCTGGCGACCACCACACTTAAGAAGAGGCATGAGGCAGATTTGCATCTGTCAGAGTGCACAAAAGACTCTGCATTTTTAAATCTGGGCCCAAATACAATGTGGTTTTGGTCCATAAACCAAGCTCCCACAGTGATATGCCTGAAGCTAATCTGATTCAGTCTATATGGCTCAGAACCAAGAAGGACTTTAGGCTTAAGAAATCCATCTACTTTTAAAAGGCCCTATCTGTGAAATCAGCACATAATTTTTCTTGTCATTGAGCATCAATGAAAGTATCTGTCATTGTGGCACAATACATCAGTGAGTGGATCTTGCTCATCTCCTTCATTCTGGAGAAGAGAATGATGATATCCAGACTCTAGCATATGCTAAAATAAGCTGTAAGCCTCTAGCTTGCATTTTTGCTACTGAAAACATAACCTCTCTTGAGGGCTTAGCATAGTATGGGCCGTACCAAGCACTTGGAGCTCTGCTTAAAGTTAGTGAACATTGTGAGAGCTCAGCATCTCTGAGAAGGGAGAAGGATAAAGACAAAGCTTGTTAAGGGTTCCCTTTACACCATTGGTTAATAAAGGCCTGTACAGAGAGTTGATGGGAGAGTCAGGATGCAATGTGCATCGGTAGCCATCAGCATTAGCATTAAGCAGAAGACAGATGGCTGAAGAGCATTTAACTATGAGATGCCGGTGCTTTTCTGACTGTGCCCTTACAGTAACTGAAATGAACTCGTGTGGTCTTGGCTCCGTCATTGTTGTTCCCTTATTTGCACCTTGAAACCAACGTGCATTAAGACAGCCCAGTTAACCTTCGCTGCTAGGGGAAAAAACCCAGAGCTGTGTTACTGTGGTAACTGAATCATTTTTCACTTTAAGACGGAGCAGTTCAATGCAATGTATTATGAAACAGCCCACTCCGGTCAGGATGAAACATGCAGTATGCCTGACAGCTTGGAGCTCGCTCTGTGAATGAATAGAGAGCTCCCAATTAATGTGGTGTTCGGCTTTTAACTTTAATAATCATCGCTATAACTCAACGGGAATGTTTATAAAACATTGGACCCGTTGCCACATAGATGTAATTTTCAGTAAATGCCCGAGATGGGAGTTTTCACCATTGCTGTTATTTATTATTTGCATTTCCAGGGGTGCTGATCAGGGCACTGCAACGTAAGAGTGTGAGAGCTGAATGAATATCTCAGTAGAAGATGTCTCCGCTCGGGTATTTCTTACAGGAGTTCTTGGCTGAGAGAATTAGGCACCAGAATTAAATGGGAAATGGGCGATGGATTACTTTAGTGCCTCTAAAATTCCCAACTGTTCTTTTGGGGGGAAATGGTGGTGTAGAGGACTGGAAATGGAAATGTTTTCCCCTTTCAATTGTATGTAAACCTAAATACTATATAAAAATGGCTGTAATCCACAGTGGTTTTATTTAGTTAGGAGAGGGGTGGAAGTGGTTCCTCTGTCATGTGAAGGAAAATCTCTATTCTAGGCCATAACAATTGCCATTTCAGGATTTTGCAAAACAGATAAAAGTGAAATGGCTAATGGGAGATGAAGTCATTATTCCTGTTATAACCCATTTAAGTTCATATTCAGATGAAAAAAAAAGTCAAAAGGAAAATTAACAGGCTTACATTCCTCCCTCCTGCCAACCCACAACACAGAAAAGGTCTCCCCTTAACAGTTAAGCTCTCCTGTGTGGTTTCCACCAAAGGGGCATTAAGGTGGGGCAGGGAATTAGGGGGTTGTGTATGAAGGGGAGCAGGGTGTAGAGATTTCATGCCTTTTCCTGAGGGAATTTTTGTGCATTAACGCCGATATAATGGTGCCTGGCTATGACAAAGATGAGCAGCTGAGAAATACATGTAATAAATAATGCACATAAACACGCAAGATCGTTTCTAAGGGAAGTAAAGTGGAAGCCAGCCTTTTTAGCTCACGGCTAATGTGGTGGAATAATAAAACTCCTTCTGAGATGCTGTTGTCTGGCTTGACACGCTTTGTTTTTCTCCTTAACAGGGGAAGTGTTCTTGCAGATTAAAGGCCCACTAGAAGACACGTATAAAATCTACTGCTATCGCCATGATGATGCACACACCATACTGGAATCCTATGAAAAGGATGAAGAACTGAAGCAGCATTTAAGACACTGTGTACAGTCCTTAAAGTAAGATCTTTTCAAATGATGATTTCCGTCCATAGTCAGTTGCCTGGCAGGGAACATTTTAAATGGATGTAGATGAAAGGTCCCCTGTAAATCCGGAGTTTTATGAGGCTTGCTGGGAGCTCTGGCTTATGCTGCTTTCATGAAAAGATGACAAGCCAGGGGCCATGATTAGATTTCTTTCTCTCTAAGATGGCAAAAAATAGCGCAAGAAAGGTTGCTCTTCCCTTAGCCCTGTACTGGCAAAAAAATGTTGGATCATATCAGGGGCTATTGGGAACCCCTTGCCCAGCTCCCAGGAAACACGCTGCCCTCATCTTCAGCAATTCTATGGCTTGAATTAAAATAGCCTGTAACAGAGCTACTCACATGCACTGGTGTTTCTGGGCCCCTGTTGCAAGGTCACAGGTATCTGGAGCGGCTGTGTGGTGCTGGACCCCTCGTGATGGGGGTTTGAGAGCAATCAGTGTTGGAACAAGCTGGCAGGTCCCACCAATGGAAGATGCAGTGCCAGCCCCTCAGGAAAATGAGTTAAGATGCTGCAGAATTATGGATCCACCTTTCCTCCAGCGTGGCTTCCTCCTGCAGCCAGTTGCAGGAACCACCTCATCCCCTCCATGGAGAGTGCTTCTCTTCCCACCCATAAATCCCCTTGCCCCCTCACTTTCCCAAAAGCATCACAGGAGGGAACACACCACAGTCTTTGAGATCAGAGGTCTAGCTCCAGCCCCAGGAAAAGGCCCATGCTGTATGCTGGTAGGAGAGATGTAAAGCTACCACAAATAATGGAGTGTAACATCAGCAACAGATATTTCAACCACACCCCAGTTAGTGATCAGTGTGCAGAGACGCGTTAAGACTTAGGAGACGGGAAGTATGTCCAAGTGAAATCTAGAAAGAGCGGTGGAGGAAAATATTAAAAACATGAAAAGATAAACGTTCGCTTTGAAGACAGATTATGTTGAAAATAAGGCTTATTTTGTTCAACATCTCCAGTTATTAAATACATAACAAAGTATATGTGTAGGGTACTTAGGCTTTAGCTACCCTGGAAGTTGAAAGAAATAGATTTTCATATATACTCAGGCTCTCAGGCTAATGGATGGCCAGGTATCTCCCCTAAGGGGGTGTTTTAGTTGCTGATGCCTACAATATTCTTTTCTGGCTAATCAAGAGAAGCTGCTACTGTCATTCAGTCATCCCTGCTGCTGAGACAAAGGGACCTGGAAGGAAATAAAGACAAAAGATAGCGTCCCCATGCTAGGGTGGATGCTGCCACTTGAATTCCAGAGCCAGCAAGAGGAGCTCCTGTTCCAACATCACAGCTGGGATTTGTGAAGAGAAAGGATATTTTCTGCTGAGCCATTGTAGCCTTTGCTAGCAGGAAGTGACAAAGCCTTCCTCACAATGAAGCCTTGTTTTGTCTTGTTCTTTCCTGATTAGCCTTTAAACAGGAACCAATGAAAAAAGCACTGGTGCATGTATACTACATTGTGTTTTTCCCAGTGCCTCAAGATTGCAGCCAATTCAAATACGAAGACCTGAAAGTGCACACACAAATGCAGAGCTGTGGTCACCTAAGCCTGTTACTTCTGATTGAAGAATACTTGTCCTAGGAAGAAAATTATGCAGCATTTTTACCAAATAAGTTATAGGCTGTTTTTCATTGTGAGACATAATAAGTGCAGGGGCTGGTGACAACTATTCTTGAAAAATGTTTACTTCTTAAATAATCTTTTTTTCCTTGGAAACATATTGTTCCATTTTTAATTTTTTTTTTTTTAAATTAAAATGGGCTAACGTTGGTAAGGGCTTGTGTTCCTCAGTTGAGTAATATCTGCCATGTGAAAAACAACTTCTATATCAAGAGCAATTTGAGAGTGGCACTCTGCACATCTGTACAGACAAATCAGATTTAATTAGGCATGCTGAGATCCCTATTCCTCCCATTGACTGAAGAGGAGAAATTCCATCCCAAAATGTAGGTGTCTGCCTTGGAGACATGTGTGAATCCAGATTCTGTAGAGCCTCGTGTTTCAGCAGCGATTATGCAAACTGGGGATGCTGTTTGCTAGCTTAGCCAAAGAAATGCAGCTGGTGAAAATGAAAGGCTGCTGGCAACTACCTGCTCTGCTTTCAGCCTGAAGTAGCTTGGTCAACTATTACAAGGGGCAGAGGGACGTCATAAGCACGCAGAGTGCTGACAGTGCAGAAGCAATGAAAGCACCAGCTCCCAGATGCTCAGTCAGGCACCGGTGGGCAAGGAGATAAGAGTGTAGGCAGTCAAAAAGCAGTGGCTGATGATGTGATGTCAGGAAAGCCTAACACAGAGATGCAGCGACATCTTGGTTCCCATGCATTTGAGTGAATTCATACCATAAGGAAAATATCCTATTTACGTGTTTGCGTGTTTCCAAACTACATGCCCCTGCTGCTTTCGGTATTTGTATCAACACCATCCTACTCTGAAGAGGTTTCAGTTGATGTGCAGCCTACAAAAAACTTAACAGTTTCATTGATTCTATATCCTAAAAGGCTGAAATGGATTCTTTCTCATTCAGAAATACATTTCCATTTAAAGAGAGTAGATGGGAATGTATGTAAAGTGTAAGAATGACATGTCTAATTTTACTTTTTGTGTTAAGGACTTGATCTTACTTACCGTCGTTAGCACAGTGACCTAAACTTCCTTCTCTAAGTGTTAAGACAAGGCTGGGTCTTGTAGCCAAAGCCAGGTTACTGACAATCCTTTCTCATTCGGGGCTGTCCTTTCAAAAAGATATAGGGCAAGATTCAGCGGTACCCTCTGGCTGTTTTCTTGCAGTTCAGCTGACACACAGCAGCCATAAACCTAAGTTAACTGGCCAGTTACGGCTGCTCTGTGTCACTGAAGTGTATCTGAGAATCTGGCCCCTGATCTGTATAAATCCTTTTAGGAGGAATCTAATACATGTTTTGTTTTCTTCTCTTTTGCAGAAAGATATATGAGGAAGAGTAAGTACTATGCTTTTCTTACATGTAAAGTAATCTTTAAAATATCTGTAATTTATCTTCAGTATGCTTAAAACTGTACATGTCGAAATTTTAAGAACACAAGCTTTTTGTGTCAGTATAACCCATAGATTTTTCCAGGACATATATGACAAAGACTCTCAGTTTTAATTTCCCTAAGCCTGTCTAGTTTTCTGATTACCACTGTACTACCTTTGCAGTATCTTTCAAAACATGCTTTATGAAGCCACTTAATTTGGTTGCAGTTCATTTGGAGCCCTATATTATCACCCTTCTGTCTTATAAATGTGACTAGAGAACATTGAGGTCCCCAGGAGGAGCCCTATATAAGAAGTCCAACTTAGGATCTTCCCTCCGACAATGGCTGGAAGAACATCAGAAAAGAACAAGCTCATTGCAACACTTTGCCAGAATACTCACCCAGTCACTGATAACTTGTGGTTGAGGGACTTCTGTGCCAAATGTGACATCTTTGAAAAGCCATAAATGAGAGTTTATCACAGCTGCAGTTTCTGGACATCCAGCGGGTTGGGATCATTGAAATGCAGCATCTCCTAAAGTTACCTGCAGGGAGAGGTCAGAGGAGGGGTTAGCTGAACTGAAGAAAATTATTACAATCCCAGACAGAAATGTTGAGACAAGTGGATCAAGCATGCTCTATATTGGTAGGAGATGAACACCTGTAAAGTCAGATAACTTGTTAATAAGTCAATTGCATGTCATAAATAAGATCAGAGTAAAATAGATTTTGAAGGACTTGCATGCCAAAATCCTACAGCTGGGGTTTTTAAGCTTTAGGAACTTGTTAATAAGTCAATTGCATGTCAAATAAGATCAGAGCAAAATAGATTTTGAAGGACTTGCATGTCGAAATCCTACAGCTGGGGTTTTTAAGCTTTAGTCTATGACAGGAAATAGTTTTTCTGCTTTTTGTTTTGATAAGGGACATTCTTGTATACTCCTGTCTCCCAAGGAGTGGGGCTCCAAGAGGAACAAAATACCCCAAGAGTCACAGCACGATCATGTGAGTCAGCAACACCTATAGAAATAGCACCAGACTGGCTGCTACTGCTCTGCCATGTGTAACCCTGTTAGAAATGAATGCCTAGTTTTCTCCTTCAAACAATTTGCCGTGGAGCGCAGGATACAACTCACTTTCAGAGTTTAAACTTGCTCTTATAAAGCTGTGAAGGGTGCAATGAGGCAAGTTTAGCTGTGGGACCCTCTTGGGCTTGGTTATCTCTTCCTTACTGACCAGCAGGGCACTCAGAAATGCCATCACCTGCAACTCAGTTTACAGGTTGCAGAATCTCAGCTGCCCCGGGGCAGGACCGTGCCCAAAAATCTGGTTAACATTGAACTGGAAAATACAGCCTAACTCACCCCAAACGGTCTGTGATCTTGCTGCTCCCAGATTGCTTTCCATTCAAGCATGATCAAGAAAACAATTACATAAATACCAGACAGTGCTGCCCTTTGCTGGAAGCTCAATAGGTTAAATTCTGCTTGGCTTAACAACTGTGCAGCCTCGGTGAATTCCATGGGTTTGCACGAGAGTCTTGGGACACAGTGAATTATTTGCCCTGCATGTCTTGTAGTAAAATGAACTCGGGGATGGTAAACCATGAAGCCTGAGAGTTTAAGTCGTGCTCCAGCCTATGATGCCCACACACCATTCCAAAACTGCCGAGGTGAATGTCACACCAGCCCCATTCCTGCTGTACCATACTGGTTATCATGTTTGCCACTGGACCTAGTTGCTGGGTAATGAGAGCAAATGGAATTAAATCCCAAATCACCTGTTTTTGCATAGCTCACCACCATGTGTTTTTTGAACAGGTGGAAATCCTTCTGCGTTTGTGACTTTGTTCTGTTGGGAGGAGGGAGGGAGGGTATGATGTGAAACTGACTACAGTTAAGCCAGCTGCATTTACGGCAGAACTATGGTAATAAATCGTGACGAGATTAGTATAGCTACACATGACCTAGAATTCTTGCTAAATTCACAATAACATTGGGAGGGAAGGCTGAGGTAGCATCGCAAATGAATTATCAACTTAATTTTCTGCACAATAGATGTCACAAGCTGTTACTCGCCTGTTTGGGTGGCGTGGCAAGGCCACGTCCTGCCCGGCGGCCGGGTGCGTCCTAACGGGGCACGCTGCAAACGGGGCTCGTCCAGGGAGAGTGGCTATCATCAGCTCATCTTGCTGGGGAGAATTAGATGAGTTGAACTTCGTGGCATTTAGTGCCCCGGGGAGTCATTATCTTATAACAAACCTACTATCTCTCCAACCATATTGCCAGACTGTGTCATGCAGATATGCGAACAGAGGGCTGTTTATCACTTGGGCAGCTGTCCAAAGTGCAGCTATGTAAAGAGAAGACACTTGAAGATTTTTCCATTCATGAGGCAGCTTTTATAGATGTGCATTCATGGGGCTTTTCAGAGAAAACAATAACAATTTAAGATTTTTTTTTTTTTCATTATTGCTGCCAGAAGCTGAAAGAAGGGAAAATAGCTCTGTATATTTAATATAGGATACAGGGGAAATGAGGGGGATTGAAATGATGAGAAGGTTTGGGGACATCAAGAAGCCTTAAAAGGCATCTACTGTTAATTTTTTTTCATGCAGAACTTTTTTACAGATAATGCCTGTGTGAGAGAGATGGTTTAAATATGCAGATGTCTCTTCTCAAAGGCATTCAAATTGTTAGTTAATTAGTCAGCAGTAAGGATTGGCTCTTGTACTTTTTATACATATAAAAGTGGGAATGAAAGCTTTTTTTTTTCTCTTTTACTCTTCCTGCTGCACAAAACAATAGATGTCAGCCTGCAAAACCAAGCGACTGTTCCCTGTTTTCTGTACTTTCCTTCTACATTGTGTTATTCCACCCTTCCATATGCACAAATCCTTCTCTGCCTAACGTTAACTCTTGCATAGTTCACGTTGAACAACCTTTTGCCCTCCAAAGCAGCCTTTTTGGGCATGCAAATGGCAAGTTTGCTCTGCTTTACTGCCCTTAACTCTGTTACCAACAGCTCATGCTGAGTTTCAAAGGGGAGGTCTGGGAGTCACAGGCAGTCCATACCAGCACTGGTGCTAGAGGGTTGCCTGCTCTGCTCAGGACCATGCTTGAACAAGGAGAGACAATGGACATGTCTGTCCTGCTGCTGGAGCCTCACTAATGGCTGGCCCTGGCCCTAGAGCTTGGCCACCTGGTGTTACCTACCCCATGGAAACCCCAGGTTTCTACCAGCCACGTGGCCTGAGCCACTCGGGTGCCTGGGGAAGCTTCTCTGCTGCCCCTGCTGAGCCAACAGGGATTGAGCCTGGAGCTGCAGAGCATCTCTGTGCCCGTGCTGGAAGCTGTGACTTTTCTACCTTCATCCTTCTGCCCAAACATCTGCCTGCTTGGCCTTTGCGTAAGGTGACTTCCAGCAGGTTGGATCAAGCCTGGGTGAACATCCTGCACGTTCGGTGTTTCCCCAGGCTGGATCTGGTACCCTTTGGAAGCTCAAGCATCGTTAGAAATAACCTACTGTCACCCAGCAAAGAAAAAACACAGGTGAAAAACAGTAAAGCTTAAGGGTCATTGTGGTGAGTTGAGAGATGTTGAGAAAAGGGATGCAGCCATAAACAGGCATCCCGGTTACTCACAGCAGGGAGATATTGCAATTTTAAGCCTGAGGGGCTAGAGCAGGATGTAATAACCCCACTTACATGCATTTCTCAAACTTCCTGTTATTTGTTCTTCCACCTACATCTCCCTTCCTGGGTGTTGTGCTGTGTCAGTTGTACCACATGCACCCTCAGACTGAGTGGGACCGTTTCAGAGGTAATGCCTAAGCAATAGTCTGGCAAACTGCTGAAAATACAGAAAACTCAGACCCAGTGAGTATTTCTCATTGAGGGGGCGAGAGGAGGGTTTCATTTACAATGGCCCATGTTCCCTGACTGATGTATCTTATTTTTTGACTTAACCGGTAATTGCACTTCTATGACTCAGTGCAAAGCACTGCTCTGGTTTTGGTATTTTCTGTAGCTGAAAGTTCAACTGAAGGATATAAAAGGCAGCAGCTTCAATGACTAGACAAAAATAATAAGAACTTTTCGTCTTCAAGGAGTTCCTCCTTATGTGACAACTTTTTTTGTATAAATTGTAGAGGAAAGCCAAATCTAATGGACATGGGATCCCTGATGATCAAACCAGTGCAACGGGTGATGAAATATCCCTTGCTACTCTGTGAACTCTTGAATTCAACTCCTGCTTCTCACCCTGACCACAAGGTGCTACAAGACGCCCTTTTTGCTATGAAAAACATTAACGTGAACATCAATGAACTTAAAAGGAGGAAAGATTTAGGTAAGAAAAAGGCACAGTAAATTCATCTGTCTTTGTAAGCTTGGGCTGGCAGTTACAAAAGAGGTTTCAAGTCCAGTCATATCTCTACAACAGTTTTGGCTGCTGCTACCCAAGCTGTGCAATATGCTGGGTTTCGAGAAGCTAACAGATGCCTTAATGTCACTTGTCCTCAGCCAGCTATGTTATCTGACTGGTAACTCCAGAAACTTGAAAATGATGAAAGAATTCATGTTCTATCCATGTTCATTGCCTGTAATGCAGTTGCAAACACTGAATAATTAAGATGCAGCGATAGCAATATTTCTCACAGACTTGCCACATTGAAGCCCTAACTCCTCCCAAGGCTAGTGTTGATAACAGGGTTTTCATCATCTCGAGCATTTTCACACAAGATTACAGCAAGTGACATCAAAGTGTCTTCTCTCAAATGGTTTCATATTTGTGTGCCTGTCCCTGTGAAAAGCCCTGCGAATACAGATTATTAGTGTCATGAAATTCTCTGTCTGCAGTGCTGAAGTATAAGAGGAATGATGATGATGAGTCCCTTAAAGAAAAGTTTTCCCGACTGAACATCCACTCCATTAGCAAGAAATCCAAGAGGGTCACCAGCCATCTGAAAATACTGACAGGGGGAGAACCTCAGGTACTTACTCATCCCACTGCAGATTTGCATTGACAGCTTCAGTTCTGCTTTTGCACCGGGCATTTTTAAAAACGTTGGAAATTGGGTTTGTGGTGTTGCTTTTTTTCTGCATCATTTATAAAGTCATTTTCTGACTGTCACAGAAGACAGGAAAGATCTCTGTGATTGAAATAGAAAATAACGTAATGCGTTCTCCACCTTTTCCTTTTTTATCTAAGAGTTTCTCAAACTCCTGATCGACGGCAGAGAGGAAGGGATTGGTAGTTTTGTGAAACTCAGCCTGAGATTAATGCTTTGTGGATAGACTGGCAGTAGTTATTGTTGGTGCTGAGAACATGTTCTTGCTCTGCTTCGTAACATTCAGGTTCTGAACCCACCAAGGAAGATGAGCAATACTTCTGATTAGGAAAGGCCATGGGGTTTGCCACTACACGTGTAGGGGACCGGGAACATTAGTAGTCAAAATTACCAGAGGCAAAGAACCCTGTGATAAATCAATGGGTGTTGGATGGCCAAAAATAAAACACACTTTCATAATTTTTGAGGTTGTAATTCAAAACCTAGCAAAATAAACATTTCCAGGAAAGCTTAAATCTAAATCTCAAGAAAATCAATTACAACTGACCTTGAAAATTATATCCAGTGCACCTCACTGCATGAGATGGTTGATTAGACAAGGTCACTTGCCATTCTAGATGTGACTTTACAAGATACGTGCCGTTTTTTCCTATTTTGTTTTTTATCAGTGGTTTCCCCCTTTCTCTGACGCAAACTACCCACATTTCTTTTTTCTGTTCATTTATTCATACAGTGGAAATTTTTGTATTCAGAATGGGACACCAGCAAGGCTATAAAATCAGAGAAAAACAGGGAATTAAATTTGATTAACAGGAGATGCGATTTTTCTTTTTTTTCTTTAAAAGCTTCTGGTTTATGTGTGGTGGTTTTTTTTGGTTTGTTTTTTAATTAAGCTTAAAACATTAGAGAATCATTTTAGAATCAGGATACATCTGTTAAGGATTCAGCCCTCTCTCCTGCTTAATTAGACTAAGAAAATATTCTAATTCACATCTCTGAAACACGCTGTGACCCTTACAGCAAAACCACTGAAAACGAGACTTGAGAGTTCTCAAATTCCTCAAGTAAAAGGTAGGCAGAAATAAACATATTTTCAGGGGTTTTTTTTCAGCTAGCATGTAAAAGTAGTACAAGCCTCTTTCCAGCTGCTGAGGTTTCCAGCAGGAAGAGCTGGCATCGCTCTAGAGGTAACAGCTCCACCTACAGCCATCACCCAGAAATAAGCAATGCCATGACATAAAAATATCTTTAAATTTTCGCTATTGTTCCCCCAATGGAGCAACAATACACACAAAAAAAATGAAGAGTTTTATTGGCACACTTAGGTGAGCTTGTAATAAAGCAACTAAAAACCGAAGAGTTTTATTGCCACACTTAGGTGAGCTTGTAATAAAGCAACTCTCTGCTTTCACAAGGATTAAAATATAAATTCTCTGTTCATGTTGCCCCGTGCCTTTGACTTTTCTTGGTTTAAAACTGGAGCTTGGGAGAATTAGGGGCTGATCTGTTCTATTTTCAAAGGGAGGAGTTCAGGGAAGGTTTGGGATCTTTCCAGCAGCGCTCTGGACATTTCTTTCATTAGCCAGACTCTTTTGGGCTGCCAAAATAACAGCGCTAACATCTATTTTAGGTGAAAGATCAAACTTTTAATAAGGAAGAGAAGTTGTTTCGAAGTTTAGAGAAGACCGTGAAATTGTGCGTGAAGAACATTTCATTCTCCTCGCAACATCTACGGGTGGGTACAGGCCTTTTGGAAATCTGTGGCCACAAACCATGCCCACAACCAGTTTAACACACATTTCTGCCACTGGTTAGGCAACACTAAATTATAGGCAGGCCTGTCTACATCGCAATATTAAATAAATGAGTTGTGCTGTTGCTGCATTACTGAGCCCGTGGCAAAGAAGTTCTGAAGCCCGTGCTTCTGTGTTTTTCCCCTTACACAAGCAGGCTCCACAGAGCCTGGGTGCAGCGTGGAAAAGAAGGTGCTGTCAGGTAGCACAGTTTAGACTTTCAATCACTGTGTTAAGCCACCATGTGGGTCTTGCACACTTGCCACAGTGGAGCACCAATGGTTTCTCATTAAAAATGGAAGTAAGAAGTTGCAGCCACATGAATGAAAATGTTCTAAAATACATATTTTGGACGTAAGGACTCCTTCCTTTCTCCTGTTGCTAGGTTGTGTTGAAGGCTAGCATTAGATGCACAGAATGCTCAACTGCTGTAAATGTCTTTGCTTTAATCCTCCTCTCTGAAGACGTGGGTTGGCTTGTAACTTATCAACTTTCCCCTCTCCTGGACAACTTGCCAACTTTGTAGATGGCATGAGGCCCTTCAAAGTGTAAGTGTGCCCAAACTGGACACGAAGGTTGTTTAAGAGGTAGGCAAGATTGATGGCCAGCTGGCCAGAGCTTATCACAAACACACCTTGTTTGGTTCAGCAAACAGGGGAAGGCCAGTGAGCTCAGCCCACAAGGTTTGTTGCCCAGAATGGTGTTGACAGTTCCTTATGCAAACGGATGCACACTTCATTAAGATTAAAATTCAGAGTAAGTGAAATAATACATCGCTGTAGTCCTAACTTAGTTCCTCCAAAAGAGGCCTTTGAGTTTTGGGTCTTGAGCTGGCTTCTTGCTGAGGAGTAGCTAACTTCCAGTGGGACATTCATTAGGTGGGGGCATAATTTTTTCAGTTGAACATTAACCACTTGATTCTTAAATATTTACATAGAAAATAGACAAAACACAGGAAAATATTATCAAAGTAAACAGCCCCACAATGGCTGGAAACTGCACAGAAACAACACACCTGTCTGAGATGGAAAATATTTCTGATTCCATCAGTATTATTGCAGTATCTGCATGAGTGAATGCAGTATATTAAAACAGATCCTAATACAGTTTCATCTTCCTACCATCTTCTCATTTAGGATTCTATACATCTGGCTGCACAGAATATAATTGGGCTTCAGGAAATCTTGCAAGACAAAGACAACGAAGTCAACGACTGTCCAGAAAAACAGAACAGCACTACAAATCTCTGTGAAGACCTTGTAAGTTTAGGCAATGTCCACTGTTACACAGCTATCTGTATGTGTGAGAAAGAGGTGTATGTGAGGAAGACTAGGACAGAAAACACCCGAAAAACCTTAGGAATCCATTGGAAAAGATGAGCAGGTTTTTTGGTTGAGGTTCCGAAAGAAATAAGATAAAATTCAGTGAAAGTGCACTGTGTTTTCCCTAGAAGAGCTGAAGAAAATTTCTCAAGCTAAATTCCTGGGTTTAAAGTAAAATCTTTGTGCTAAATTTGCGCTTTTCATCTGAGCTTCAGACAAAAGCAGCAGATCTTTGCTTTGCTACTTTTGTTACCAGCACTTGCAGTTTTAGAGTGACTTTTGTCATCTTTGTTGTGCTCATGAACTATTGCCTCCTGGTATCATCCATCTGTGAAACTCTCAGCTTTGTTACCTTTCTGAAGTTACTATCCTTCATACAGGGAAACCATGCAAAATCTGAATATAGCCCATAGAAATTAAAAGGCAACTTCAGAAAAAAAAGGTAATAATTTTTCAAGTAGTCTCTTGCTTTCAGGGTCTAAATGAACTCTAATGCCTGGCTCTACAAAAATAGACTAAAATGTCACTTCAAAATGAGGCAGGCTCCTTTTTCAAACAGCTACTAAAGCTGGAAAAATTCAGGGGTGGAGGTTTTCTTATACTTTCCTAGGTTTGTGCCCACTAAAATATAGCCATTCAATCCTTTCCAAAACACTGAAAACAAAGTCTTCCAAGAAACAGAAGGATCTTTGACAGACCACATCCTCCCAGATAATGACAGGGAACTAAGATGTTGTATTTCCTTTCCTTTGAAGTTCCCGCATTTGAAAGGAATCTCAAAAATTAATCTCAATAATCAGAAAGATACTTTCAATGTCTTCACAATGAATGAGTGCATAAAGTGCAAAAGAGTGCCCTCCTCTATCATTGCAGTGGTGTGTCCAGTATGCAAGATGCCTCCATATTCAGAAACATCAAAGAAAAGCAGAAGCAATTCTACAATTGATGAAGCAGAAAACTTTTTTTCAGAAAAAAAATTTGTAACTCCTATTGGCTCATGACCCAGCTATTCTAAAGGTCTATGTAACTAAAAAAAAAGATATACCTTAATCTTATTTGTGTTAATTGTGGACATTGTTATTAACCATGTTAATTTCTACGCATTATCTATTTAATTCTGTGTACTGGATTTATAAGATTAAAAGGACTCTCTATTGTATGTATAAGGCTTTTTTTAAAAAAAGCTTTTGTCCTGATATTGCACGATGAGTAGATATTCTCAGTAAACACTGTTTTTCATGTGTTTTCCTAAAGGGTATTATCAATGGAGATCTCAGCAATGGGCTCAGGTTCTTTTTTTTTTTTCCCCTTGCGCATTTGTCAATAATGAATACTTTCCTCCCTCATTATGTTTTAAGGAAAATTTTAGGGCAGAAACCCATAATAGCCTCTTCTCTCCCAGAAATCAGGTCCAGCAGTTTAGAAGAATTGTTTTCTTAATACATCAAAAATTGGTTTGCTAAACAGCCCAGTTTTCCAGGTGGAAATAAAGTAGGAGCTATCCAGGCAGCAAACATCATCTTGGCCTTGGGAGAGCAATTCTGGTGCTAAAATGGATCTGTCCTCAACTGTGGTGTGTTACAGAGGGTAGAAAGACAGCTGTTCTTTCATTCTCACACTCAGCACAACAACTTAATTCACATAGAACGTCCAAGAGCTTTAAGATGATGATGTGTTTCACTCACTACAAGCCTATGCTGTATTTGAACAAGTGACTGACTTACAAAAATAAATTTTATTTCATGCAATATTAATCCCTTGAGACAATTAGAGACTAATGGAAAAGTCTGAGAAAGACTTGTTTTTTTTACCAGGTGTCTAATTTTGTTGATTACTGGAGATAAAACCAACAGGCATAACATAATTTAATCAAATCAAGTGATTGTTTGTGTTTGCTTAAACAGGAATTGAGTTACAGCTGTTTCCAGGAAAAAAAAAAAAAAAAAGAAAAAGCAAAAGCTTTGATGGCATGTAAGACTGCAAAGACTGCAAGACTGCCATTTAACTAGACCTCATTGCCTCTAGACTTTGTATATTGGCATGGGCCTTCCAGTTATGGAAATCCCAGTTTCGTTGGACCACTTCACCAATCCCTGCCCAGTTTTTCCTCACTGGTAACAGACTAAGGGCAGTACCACAGGCTGCATGTTCCAAGAGACCATTACCAGACATCATACATTGGAAAACTGTTACTTCTCCTTTGCAATGTTATGGAAGAGATTCTAACTCATTCTAAACCCTGCTTGATGCTGCCTCTGACAGCAATGCTTTGTGAAGAGTAATTAACAGATTGCTTGATAGGCTGCCATCAGGCTTAACCTGTCACTGGGTCTGAAGAACAGCATAAATAAAGTAATAAGTACATCTGTTTTATACTCTTCCAGATGGCTCAGCTGGACAAGCTTGTTTTGTCTCCTCTCTCAGCGCTACAAGCCTTGTTTTCAGGCCCACAGAAGCTCATCCAGAAGCGCTATGACAAGTTGTTGGACTACAACAGCTACCTTCAGAGGTCAACAGGAGAAGAGCTGGAGCTGGCAAAGAAAGACTACGAGGCTCTAAATGCGCAGCTAGTGGAAGAACTTCAGGTATTCAACAGAGCAGCCAAAAAGATCGTGTTGAACTGCCTGCATTGCTTTATCACCCTCCTCAGGAATATTATGTCTGCAGCACTTCAGTCAAATTCTGCTGTGGTGGTGCCCGTTCCGGTAAGTACATTAGAAACTGGTGTAGTTCTGCCTTTTTTTGGCTTTTTTCTTTCTGTATGATTTGGCTAGAGTTATGCAGGACACACACCTACAAGCTACACTGATTTTGTTTGTTCTGCTAAGCACAGTCAGGTTTGGGTTTGTTTTTTTTTCCTTGCAAGCTCAGCAAATGTTAAGTTTTCAGCTTAAGTTTTGTCAGACCTGGACTTTTCATAGAGAATGATTCTAACGCAGCTGTTCCAGCTGCTACAGCCATAGTAATGGCAAGAACATTACAGGAAGGCAAAAAGGGAGACAGCTGCCAGCATTTTAGTCTGTGTTTCTTAGCATCTACCCAGAGGAGGCCAGAAAACAGAGGAAGATAAATTGTAAGAAAGTATACACGAAGTGTTAAACACAAATATGCTGCAGAAGCTCCTGAAGACATCTCTAGGCAGTAAGGGATAACTTTGTCTACATTGGCATTTTTAGAAAGTTCAAATAATTTAACTGACGTAGCCAAAAAGTAGCAAAGATGCCTGTCTTAGCTACACAGAAGGGCATCAGTTCCTCCAGCCCACCCTACTCTTTCTGGACACTATGATCATTACCTGAAGATTGAAGTTGAGAAATTGTTCTTAATTTGTGTGAAAATCCTACAATGTTTCGGTTTTGTTGTACTTTTGCCTAGAGGACTTGAACCCCACCAAGAACACAGCTGCAACAATGCCTTCCACACATCCAAATCCACTCACCTGAACTGGAGCAAGACTCTAGATGGGAAACACATTGCAGTGAGGCAATTCTGGAGTATGCCTTTCCATCAAGGCTTGAACACAGCACTTTATAGTCAGGGACAGCTGAAAAATTAAAAACCCAAGGTCAGGATCAAAACATAGAGCTGTGCTGTTTAATGGGAAAATGAAGGCTTTTCCCACATGAAGAAATTGCATCCCTGTAATTTGACCATTTCATGTTTTGAAAGCTGTTGTATTGAGAGCATTGTTTTCTGTGAGGCTCTGCCAACAAAATTACAGAATCACAGAATCTTCTAGATTGGAAGGGACCTTAAAGACCATCTTGTCCAACCGTCAACCTAACTGACAAAAATAGACACCCGCACAACAAACAAGAAGCATCACCATCACTAAACCATACATCCCAGCACTACCTCAACCTGTCTTTTGACAGGTTTGACCTTCTTTTTCTTTTTTCTGTTTACATCAGCAAATACATTTGGGGTTAGACATAGACCTAAAGCAACACAGACAGAGCTTCAGGTTACCCAACAATTTTTAACCTGGTGGCAGCACCAGGTTACACAAACACAAAGCTGTAGGGTAAACTACTACCAAGTCTTACAGCACACTGACCACTCCCATAGCTGCTGAGATGCACATTTGCATCTGAAAACAAGTGGTTCAGTAGTATAACTGCAAGGCTGTTCATTTTCATCACTGTTCAGAATATTTTTTAATGATTTCACTTAAATTAGTATGTCTTTTAAATCTAATAGCAATCATTACAAACTCTCTTTAAGCAAGGACCTTTGTTTTCTTTCCATCTCGTACTTAGCACATTATGGGCTCTGCAGAAAACAGCAGTGATTTGTCAGATTTCCTGATTCCTAGCATTCAACCCATTAAACCAAATCTGCTCTCTCAAGTCTCCTTAACATTTTGTTCCTGAGATCTAACGTACCTTTGTGTTTGTAGCTGTCTTCCTCAAGCATCTGCGAAGTGCAGAATCAGTTGATGGAGGAGGTTCACAAGCTGAATTTTGTAAAAGAAAACAGCGGTGCAACCTTTATTGAGAGAAAATGGAGCTTGGAAAAAAAGAAACCCATCCCTTCTCCAGTGAGTACCATACACCTGAATTGTGTATGAAGCATCCTCTTTGGATTGCTTTTGAAACAAACCCATTTTTATGCCACCTAGAGGTTTGGACTTGGTCTCTTCACTGGTACTCTGACTCAGTTTGCTGGAATGAAGATGTTCCATTGACCAGTAACTTCTGAAGATTTTTCACTCTGTTTTCATGTTATTCTCTTGAAAATCCACTTGAAATTATCTCTGCACATGTTAAGTCTAAGCTTGCATATGTAAACTTTGATTACTTCTTTTGTTAAATACACTTACAGTGTGTCTCAGTCTTCTAATTCAGAACATTTATTTTCCTCATCCTCCACTGTGGTTGCTTGTACTGGTGTTTACACACATGCACACACATACACGCCCACATAGCAGAAGATTCAGAAAATCCACCAGGAAATCTGTGTCCCCCTGGGTCCCAACCTTATCAGACATTTCCAGAGCTTTTAGGAGTCTAGCTCACAGTAAAAATAAAAACTCAAGTGTAGATTTACAGGAGAAGCTGAGGAAGCCATAGGATTCCTTTTAGCATCAGTAAGGCACGTATGCTTTTCCTTCTGTGATACGTTAAGATCACATTGATGTGCAGCACCTCCCTCCCTGCCCTCTAACCAAACTCTGGGTGAATATCCTTCCAGCAGCTAATAGCATCTTGCCCTTATTTAGCAAGGCAATTTCACACAAAAAGCAGTCTGTTTGGGTACCACTTACCTTGCCTTATCAGGCAAGTTGTTATGTGACCTTAGCACACCTCAGCTGATTTTTGGATTATGCTTTTTTATGATACTACATAGGAATTCAAAGATCGTTGCTACAGAAAAACAATTAGGCAAGTGACAGTCCACATACAGAACAACAGCTCTTGGAGAGCAGAGAACAGACTAAAAGGTCTTTAATTAGTGAAATTCCTACATTTCTTTAAAATCTGCCCTTTATTGCTCACCTGTTAATTTAGCAATTGGACAGGTCCTTGCTGCATACACAGAGGGGATTTGGTTACACATAGCTGTGTAAGTAACTCCTTGACCTGCGTGTAAAAATGTAGGGTCACTTGCCACATGCAGCATACACTGTTTTTGATGCATCTGTGATTCTCCAGAACTGGCCTCAGCATTATTTCCCCTTAAATAATTGTTTTGCTTTTCAGCTCGAATCCCCACGTCAAACAGAAGGCCACAGGTCCAAGCTGTTGACGACGTACAGAACAGAACTGCTGTACCAAGCCAAGCGCAAGTGCAACGCCACGCAGGAATTGGATATTGATTTACATGAAGGAGAACTGGTGGCTGTGGTGGAGCAAAAGGACCCCTTCGGAAGTACGAGCAGATGGCTTGTTGACACAGGAAGTAAGTTCTTTGCACAAACATCCCAATAACAGCTTCCCTTTGGGATATTGATTTCTTTTCATTCTGGCCCCATCTGTTTGCCTCTGTCATACTGACAGCTGTGTAAAATGGTGGGTTTTGAAATAGAAAATAAACAGCAAAATACTACTAAAACTCTCTTTTTACTCTGGTGTCTAGTCCTTAAAGGGTATGTGTATTCCTCCTTCCTGAGGCCTTACAATCCAGCCAAAGTGCAAAAGGATGCAGCAGAAAACAGCTTCGGTGATGATGATTTTGATAACATCAGCCTCTTTGTCTCTTCACGGCCCTCTGCTGACGGCAGCACAAGAAATTCGGGGCACAAGAAGAGTGACAGCAGCTCTTCTCTTCAGTTCTGTGAAAATCCCACAATTAACGGCACAGGCACCAATGCTTTTCAGGATATGGATGATCAGCATGTAAGTACGATACACACCTGCCTGTCCTCTTGTTATTCCAACTTATACTGCTTATAAATGAAATGGTTTTCTCTTACACCCAAAAAGATGGGCACTAATCTGTCAGTATGAGATGGGAAACTCTTGTCCTCTGTTCTTTGCATTTCTTAAATAGCTACAATGTAGGAAAAGATGATCAGTTAAGCCACGAATCACAGTCCTGTCTCTCAGAAAACACACCACTGCATTACCTCACCCCGCATACAATGTCTCAAGGTTCTCCTGCGGAGCAGAAACCTGCAAAACAGCTCAGTTTGGGTGATTTGTCCACTTGGCATTGACAAGAAAGCTGTGGCAAAATCAGTAAGGCACAGAAGTGATCTCTGTGCCACACTGGAGTATAGGAGCTTTAGGAAAGGTTATTCTCCCTGAGGAAACCTTGCTGGAAAATTCTCCGTCCAATCCAAGGCCACTTGGTGTGACAGAAACAGTGAGCTGAAAACCTTACTAGTTTAGTAAGGTGATGAGGTCTTGGAGCTTGGTTTGTTCCTCCCCGTGCAGAATTCCCTAGATCCTTCAATTTTACTTTTTATTTTGGCCCCGTTCACTGTAATCTGTCTAGCATTTGCAGACCATATAGTTGTGTACTGGTTTGTATACCTTACTGCACATTTTCTGTATGCAGAATGTATACCCACAATGACAGGGTAAGATGTAGCTACATTTCTGAATTCAGATTTTAGTTTTTGTGGCTCTCCTTTTTCAGACCTTCTATGCCGTTTACGCATTTCAAGCAAGAAATGATCAAGAACTCAGTCTTGAGGAGTATCAGAAGGTTAGGATACTTCGGTTTTCTGACCTGAGTGGCAATAAAGAATGGTGGCTAGCAGAAGCAAAAGGTCAGAAAGGATATGTACCATCTAATTATCTCGGGAAGATGACATACGCTTAAGAAGAGAAAGGCCCATTGAGCCAGTTTCTCTGCAGTAAACAGAATAATCATCTATTACAGTTTGCAGCAAGCAAGGCAAACTCACAAGTGATTGACAGAAGCCATGGTATCTGGTACAGCACACTGATGATATTGAGAACTTCCATCCTCTAAAAGCCATCACCTTGTCAAGACCTGAGGGAAGAAACATTTAACAGGAAGACTGATTCTGATTAACATCCTGAAGAGCTTGCTTTCTATTACCCCATAATTTTCTCTTTTGTCAAAGCATCCTATGTCAAAAGTCAACCTACAACTATAAATCACAGCTAAAATTATGTTTTTCTTCCATGATATTTAGCAAATAATATTCAAGATGAAGAGAATTAGCCTTGAAAAAGGACAAATTCAGTCTTCAGGGATGGTGTAGTTCAGGCTGAATTGTTCCTGAACCGCCATCTCAATGAACATAGACACATCTTAAAACTTGAGCTTTTTGCTGTCTGTTTTTACCCTCAGCCATTTTTATAATGAACTTTTTCTCAGTGGAGATTATTGGAGCGGGAAAAGAAAAAGGCTTTCATTTTTGTAAGAAACGTTTCAAATTAAAACATACCAAATGGGGTGGTACCAGCAGCTGGTCCCAGGAAAGAAGGAATGTTTAGTTAAATATGGAAATGGGGGAAGGAAAAGAGAGGGCACAAGAAACAGGTGCTGTGAAATAAAGTAGTTATAATTTTCAAAAGAATTACACAACTACTTCATTTGGTAGGAAACTGTTGCAATATGAAAGTGCTCCAGGTTTGACGTTCCACGTGTGTCTCCACACTAACTACTTTGTTGTGCAAGATCTGTGTAGTGAAATGAAACCTGTGTTATTAGACTTCATAATTCTCAAAGTGTCTGATCTTAGATTGAACTGTGAAGAATGTATCGAGGAGCTGATTAACTGTTTGCAGAATTCAGACTCAAAGGCTGGTATTTTGCTAAATTATCTTCAAAATGGTCAAAGCTATTATAACAAGTTAATATAGTTCAACATTGCATCCTCAATAAGCATAGAAAACAAAAAATCCCAAGAAAGGATCTAATGTCAAGTAGTACTTCTTTAGGTTCACTGACTACAGCAATCCTTAGGTCAGGCTGGTGCCCTACACTGGAACTAGACTGAATAGTGATAGAGCATTATCTTGTTGCTATTACCATTAATCCACAGAATGATATGGGGTTGGAAGGGACCTCTGGAGATCATCTAGTCCAACCCCCCCGCCAGAGCAGGTCCAATCCAGAGCAGGTTGCACAGGAACGTGTCCAGGTGGGTTTTGAATGTCTCCAGAGAAGGAGACTCCACCACCTCTCTGGGCAGCCCGTTCCAGGGCTCTGCCACCTTTAAAGTAAAGAAGTTCCTCCTCATGTTTAGATGGAACTTCTTACGTTAAGTGTGTGCCTGTGACCTCTTGTCCTGTCACTGGGCATCACTGAAAAAAGACTGGCCCCATCCTCTCGACACCCACCCTTTAAGTATTTTATTTCAATACAGCAATGCCTAGGTCCTCTAGTGACAAGCGAGGACCTTCTTGTGCTAAATACTGCAAAAAGGAAACAAAAAAAGTGACTCTGCCTGCAGCAGGTAGTGTAATTGAAGGCAAACTCCTGACAGGTGTTTTCTGTATTGTTGCATAATTGCTTATTACTGACTGACCATTAAAAAGACAACACTTAAAATTTAGGAGAGGGAGTGGTATTGCTGATCAAGAGTATGCAGAAGCTGTCCTAAAGCTTTTGTGTAAGTTTCTACTTCCTACAATTGAAGTGTGGGGTATGAAGATGAAACGACTCAAAATCGTTATTGAGATGTAACAGGAAATAGCCTGTCAGCAAAGAAAGGATGAGAAAAGTTAGGCCAGTTGATATAAACAATAGCTTTTGCTACACTAATGAACCTAGTTTCCCTTTCTTTAGTGTCCCAAATTTTCATATTATTTTCCTACAAAGGTAAAGAAAGTTCTTAATCTTGCTCAGAAGATGAATGCAGTGGATTATAGAGATGAGAACCTGAAATTTGTGCTGGATTAAATTATAAGATAGAGAAACTTTTCAAGTTCTCTGAGATGTACATCCAGAAACTGGTACATGAAACTCTGAACTACTGCAATCCAGTGAGCAGTAAGAATCGGTATCGCATCATTTTGCCTAATTGTACGTGACCTGATGCACTTAAACCTTGCTTTTTCCATAGCAAGCAAAAAAGGGGCTCATTCATTTTATTAATAGATGTAGCTGTTTTTATGGAAAACTTTGCCTTTAGTTAAATCTGCTTGGAAGAATGGACTGAAAGACTCTCCCCTACTAAGCTTGCACTGCTTTGGATTTTGTATTTTAAGATTATGGGGAAGATGCACACAAGAAGCTTTTCAGTATGTCTTACAATTTAGGATATTTTATTTGGAGATGATCTATACTTTGCAATAGTTGAAACAGTTTTAGAAATGACTGAATTGTGCTTAATAGGCTTAAAGCAGTCATGTAAGCACAATGATGAAGTTTTGTATTTCCAACAGTGAAATTAATTAAGGCCAAGAGTCAGGAAAAAAAAAGATTTCTGAAGTCTTAGCTCTGAGAACTCAGCGTGAGTCATAGGGAGAGCTTTGATTTTGAGTGTTAGGTACATTTCTTGTGAAAAATCAAGCTCTGTGAAGGTGTCTCAAAGAGTTCTCAAATGCTGCTCTCTGAAATATTCACTAGGTATCCTGAAGTAACAAGAAATGAAGGATGAAATATACTGGAGCTGGCCACCTAGATTTCATTGAACTTCTGTGGGACTTTGGAATTCCTAGTAGGCCATATGAAATGCCAGTATATGGTTAGGACCTGTACTAATTTTATATTGTAGGATAATTTATATTACTTTTATGGCCTCTTAAACTGGGATTCAGAAAAAGTACTTTATTAGTATTTTACTAATTTACTTCATTTCATCAAAGTTTAAGCTGTTATTTGATATTCCAGATATATTGCAAACTTTTATTTTGAAAACATATAAATGCAAACTACAACTGCAAAAAATTAAGAGATGCCCTTTGAATCTAAAGCCTTCCTACCTTAAGGATATTTACAACAATTAATATTAGACTTGATCAAACACATTTTTGTTAAGGTAGTGCTTTAAACACTAGAAATGAGCTGTGTTAGGGCTCCAGAAATTCCTAAGAATATGCAGTGTTTCTGCATCTGTTTTTTTAACATAGAAAGGTTACAGTATTCTAAGAGTTCTCTTAACCTGATTAATGACAAAACGAATTTATTTTGATTGAAGCAGGGACAGGCTGCAGTTTAATGGACTGATCTTGCATTTATTCTAATGTGAGTTTTACTTACTTGAACCATTGTGACAATAAGCATGCAAAAGTACTTTCAAGATTGAGTCCATTCAAACTGAAGTGTTTCTCCATTCAGGGAATATTTTTAAGTGTTGCCACTGATAACCTGGAACCCAGAAAAAACCAGAACAGCAGAGAGTCTGTGGCTCTGACCTCTGGCACCCCTGTGCTTCACCATCTTCCCTCTGCTTGGATGGTGCTTGTGAACCTTAAGTAAGAATTCACCTTTCCAATGCAAACAAACACAGATTGAAGAATTATTCCTTCTGATCTTTCACCTTAGGAAGCTTCACTGAATAATTACATCCTTTAAACACTAAAGTATATTTTTGCTGTCATTTTAAGATAGCTTGTAAAAATACAGATATGTGAAGCGGACCTAACACATGCAATAGGAAACACAGCCATGATGATCCTTGTGCCTGTAGATCTATCACTGATAATTCCTCTTACGATATTGTTTGTTCAGAAATGGTGAAAAAAATCTTCTTTTAAATTATTGTAATAATAAAAATCTATTTTTGTAAAGATATGTTTCTTTTTTTTTTTTTTAAACAAGATGTTTCCATAAGCAAAGAGCCTTATATACTATCCAAGATCTGCCTTCTGTTGTGAACTACTAAAGCATCACCGCAAAATTAGCAGGGTAGAGCAAACAGAATTGCCTGAGAGAAAATGCTGCATTTTATAATATGCTGCATTTATAATATAAAATGCTGCATTTCTAGCATACATCCTAGCTTATCTATCAATATATTAGGACTTGTCAAACACTATCAAAATACCAAGCAAGTTTCAAAACACACTTCAAGTTTCCAAACGTCAGTTAGTTCTGTTCTTTTCTAGCTGCTCCTGAGGTTGTGACCATTATTTACTGCTATATCCAGCCAGAGGTCTGTCACGAGTAGTAATAGATAAAAGCTTGTGTTACTAAAATAAATTACAGAACTTTCTGTTAGATCGTTCCTCTTAGACTCAGATATCACCAGCATCCCCTAGTCCAGCCAGAAGGAGCACTCATGGAAGTAAAGTAACTTATTGTTTCACATTACAAAGGATATCAGAATAAAAATAAATAACTATTTTTCTAGTAAATCACAGAGCAATTTGGTTTGGGGATAGAAGAACCACAGGACTATTTTACGGTGATTTTTTTTTCTAAATATGAGGTATGCTTTTCAGAATTCAGAAGGGCCTTCCTTCTTTCTGCCCTACACTAAATTCCTCAACCTGACGTGCAAATTCAGTCAAACAATCCTGTAGAACAGACTCCTTTCCTGAAAATACAGTTGTTAATTCCATCCTAACTATAACTTCAAAGCAGAAAGCAACTGTTCCCTTCAATCTACTCTATTTTTTGGCAGTGCCTATCTTACATATTCAAGCTAAACACTTGATTTAAAAGACCAGGTCTATGCTACAAATCCTTCTTGATATAATACTTCAAAGAATCACAATCCTAACTGACATTTTTATACCAGCAGAAAGAGACTTTATATTTCATTTAGAAAGCTGGGGAAGTCACAGCGGAAGAAAGTATTCTGCTGATACAAATTGCAGCTCTATTGCAGATCTTGCTAATACAGCGATATCAGCAAGTCCAGTTAGACTTGGTCTTATTAGAGGGAAAAGACAGGTATGTATAAAAGGTATAGCATCACTTATTTTATTCTAAATTAATAGGAGATAGCCCACAGTCAACCCATGCCGGAGTTACAGATGGGAAAATAGCAGGATACACTTGAATCAGGTCTCAAGAGGTATTTTTAATGGCACTAGCCACCACAATTTAAAAACAAAAAACAGTTTTTTTCTGCCTATGTTCACCCTGTATGTGGTACCAAAAGTAACCTGCATAGTTCAGATATAAGGTTGTGAACTCTTGCAAGCAAAATTATATGTATATTCAGAGGCAAGACAGAGGCAGCTAGCACCTTGAGCCTTCCTGTGGAAGCAGGTTTTGCTGCTAAACACTTTGCATAGAAGCACACCAGCCGTTAAAAGAATCTGTCTTTCCACTTCATGGCATAGGCAACATTCTTCTGATTAACATTTAGGAAGAAAATTTGCCTTCTGTTTGCTAATGGAAACTGCTTCAGTGTCTTTTCCTACTATACCACCATTAAAAACATGCTAGAAAGGAAAGATGGGCTGCTCGAAAAGCAATAAAAGTTCTGGATTCTTCCTCCTCTTGTTATTTTTAAATCGCCCTGGAAGCCGCAGGCACTACAAAGGCAGAGCCTTTCTTTTTACCTCCACAGGAAATAATAGTTGAAAAAGTGTGTAAATTCTCTAGGTAGCTAAGGCAATCCTGAGCAAATGAAACCATTCCTGTGGATGTTTAAGGAACCCTAGACTCAATCTTAATCGCGGAGAAAACAGGTATGGGAAATAGTCGCATGTATCAGCTTTACACATCATTAAAATACAGGATGGCTAAGAAAAGCTGTAGCTTTCACCTACCTATGAAAGTCTGAGATGCTCCCCTCATCACAGCAGGAATGGAGAGAGGATTGCTGAGTGCTGGTCACAGACAGCGAGACCCGAGATCCTTTTCCAGTGCTGAGCCTGAGCTGGTTCCTGAGAGCCGAACGAAGCCTGGAGCAGCTGGGACAGAGAGGGGGCACAAGCTGTGAAGAACAGCTCAGGGGTGCGAGTGGAGAGCTGGAAGACCCAGTATTTTCTCAACTACCTGTCTTAGTTGCGGTGGTAAAGCATTAAGTGTAACCCACACGTGGCTGGGACAGGTTTGAAGGAGAGTAACAGAATCCATGAGGACACATGAAACAGCTGAGCTAGGTCTAGTTAGGAAAAAGCCACGAAAGCCTGCACAGAAAGCCCCCGAGAGGCAGTCACAGTGCCTACACACCTCCTTTGCAATAGCACCTGGACTAAGGACAAGACTGTGC